ATAAATAATAGTATTGATTATGTCTTCAACTTTTAGTTGTGTTAGCTTTAAGAAGTGAAACGAAATTTCTTGTTAAAAGCCAATCAAACAATAGAACTTTTTTTAAACGAAATTTCCTGTAGAAAGCCGGAACTTGTTTTAAAACAAAATTTCTTGTAGAAAGCCTGTTGAAAAAGAAAACGAAATTTCTTGTTGAAAGCCAATCAAACAATTATAGAACTATTTTTAAACGACAACTGTTTTTGTGGGATTTCATTTCTTGTGGTTACAATTAACACATTATTGAAATTTCTTGTGGTTACAATTAACACATTATCGAGGAATAAGTACTTTTTAATGGTTGAAAATGACCAATTAATGGACACTAATAATTTAAAAATATATTAACGTTAAAATTTTGAACTTTTCGAATACTTCTTCGAAATTATCTGATCTAATCATCTTTGATACCTTATCTGATACATTAATATTCCACAAATTATCATATATTAAAAAGATGAAAACTAATCAATAAAACCTTTTTCTTTTTTAACTTCAACTACTCTTATAAAATTGTTATGAAAATTTCTCCAGGAATTCCTTATCTTTTACTGTTATCTATCATTTTACCAATCATAAAAGTTCATCGTCGTTGTAACTTTCGATAGTTTGCAATAGTCGTAAAAATCAATTTGAAGTACCTTTACTGTTGAAAACAGGCATTTTATGATATTTGAAGTACATTTGCAGAAAAATGATTTAGGCGAAATTACTTCATTTGTTGTATAGCACCATAGCAATCACTACCAATATCAGAAATTTTCACTTTTCCACTTCTTTCTATTTTTTTTTCTTTTGTCGATCAATTTTCTTTTATTTTGCAACATTTCATCGATTGAATTTGATAAATCGATAATGCTTGAAATAATTGCATCAAATTATAGTATGCTAATTATACTAATTATTTAATTTGCAAATATGTTAAAAAATTATTTCAACTTTCATCATATCTAATTTCAAATTTCATTAATTATTTAGTATCATATCAAATATTAAATAATTTTTAAGTATTAAATGATAATAAGTAATTTTTGTTTGCTTACAAATGAATGTAATCTATTTTAGCAATTAAAAAATGATAACAAATATTATTAACAGATATCATCAACAAAATTAGTCGAAATGAATGAANAAATAATTTTTAAGTATTAAATGATAATAAGTAATTTTTGTTTGCTTACAAATGAATGTAATCTATTTTAGCAATTAAAAAATGATAACAAATATTATTAACAGATATCATCAACAAAATTAGTCGAAATGAATGAATGAAAATTTGAATTTAAATTTTTCGAATTAAATTAAATTACTTAATTAGAAAATACTTTTCTAATTTAATTAAATTACTTTACTAGGAAAAATTTGATAATGAAATTGCTTATATTCAATAATATTGCTATATGAAATATATCGAAGAAATTATTGAAATATGAAAAATCAAAAGAGCAAAGATGTATTTGAAAGATCGCTTATAAATTAATCATTGATCTCTTCAGGATAGTTTGACAATTATGCAAGTGTTTGTTTGGCCATACAAAGGATAAACAATTCTCTTGTCATATCATCTAAAATTATACTCCAACAAATATAAGTTATTGTCATCAATAATCTTTGTTTGCCAATATAAAAATGGTTAAAGATGTAATAGGCGTTTCATGTCACTGTCATTTACGCTCAAATAACATTTAGCAATAATTACGTTAAGTAATATGATGTTGTGACTATAAACAGCTATTAGGAGCTTAGAGCAATAAGTTAATTGGAATGATGATACTCGTAGGTTATTATGTATGAATGGAATATATCATGATGGAAATTAAATATTATTATTGAAATGGTCCTGGTAATAATGGTTTGTTAAATTAAGCAAGCAAATACCGAAGTTAATATTAATTTAATGATTAAACGTAATTAAATGTAAGTAATTAAACTCGATATGATTATCAATTAATATATGCAAATTTACTGCCATCAATAATTTTAATTTTTTGCAAAATATATATTCGGCTGAGTAGTATTTATTTTAATGCTAACATATTAAAAAGATTTCGTTGTCAATAATCTTATCACCTTTAAATTAACCATATATTATATGTGTCAATAATCTTGTCACCTTTAAATTAATAAAATATTCCACCAATATATTTAAGCTCATGATATCTTCGATTATCAGCTATCAACTTCTAAAAAAATTATTGATTTTCAGCATTGTGATATTCTAGAATTCAGTATTTCTGTTCTTCCGTATATCTTCGTGATTCCATATTTGCCAATAAAGATTTTGAAAGATTTCAAAAGAGTGTTAAGCAAACTTTTTCGTTCTTATGCTATAGGCATTTTTGCTTAGCAATAATAGTGAATGACATGAAAGTTTAGGAGTGATGAATAAGAAGGAATGAAAAAAACTAGCGAAATAAGTGGGCCTTTATATTCCTAAAATTTTTGTGTGATGCCTTTAAAAATATACATAAGATGAAATTAGACAGACAAACATAAATACACATACACAGACATAACATACAAATAAACAGACCGGTGCACTCAAGTACCCAGAACAATAAGGCGTACACACACACACACACACACACACACACACACACACACATATACGAACACACACACACACACACACACACACAGCACCAGAGATGATTAGAAAAGGCGTAGTATATACCAACCAACTCCACCATTTTCCCCTTTTCATTGCGATCGAACATACATATTTCGGAATAGTTGATGCCAGTTCCCGGGAGTTGGCTAGAAGTAATCGAAGTGTGATGCTTATGGCGAAGATATCCTGTAATTCCATTTAGGACCATTGTAATTGTTTAGCTAAATCTCTTTACCAGATAGATATGCTGATTTTTCCGTTAGTTTATTTTATTTCAAATTTTCTATAAAATTTAAAATATATAAAATATTATTGCTTATGTTGTTATTTCAAGCTTTTAAAAGCTAATTAAAAATTAATTAGTTACATTCAATTTTATTTGTTTTATCTGTTTGAAGAAATTATCTTTGAATTATTAAATTTTACATTCATTAGCAATTCATTAATACTGTTCGAAGGAGAATTTCATTTGTTTCAAATTTTATTGGATGAAATTTTCATCGAAATATATTTTAAATTCATTTTTCAAATTTTCCATCCATAAGTTTTTTTTTGCATATTTGAAAAATGTGACAGCTGCGCCTTTTTCAATTCAACATCATTTCATTTCCTAATCACTTCATTGATCTTATCTACACCTTCTTGATCATTCATATTCCTCCAACAGGTTTAGGTTTTAAAATCTTATTTTAAAATTTTTACGAACTATGCACTATTAATAAATCGTTATATTTTTTTCCTTTAAAATATGATACTACTTTTAATTGTAATATTTTACGCTAGTTTAAAGGTGTTTTAAAACTTCGCAATCTAACAATAACGATCTTTAATGTTCGATGTCCTTCGGTGGCGGTTGGAAGCAAAAATCACCTCCGATTCTTCGACTTGTCGTTGTCGGCGGTGGAGGTGTTGGCAAATCCGCTTTAACAATTCAATTTGTACAGGTGTATAATTGTTATTTCGATGAATATAAATTAAAAATTATCATCAAAAGATAGTGAAGGAACTTTTTAGGATAGTCATAATAAAAGGTCAATGGAATAGTCTAGTAAATTTGTCAAAACATTATAACTATTATAATTAAAAATCAGGTAATTCATTTTTTTCCAGTTTGTTTAAAAATTTAACTTTTCATTAATTTTATCTTACTTAACAAAATGGTACATATTGCATTACATTATCTGTCATAAACTTTCTTGCCACCCTACCTTATCAATTTCAAATCAATAGAACTTTTTTTTTCATTAACCTTTGTGAACAAAATGATTAATTAAGAATTTGCTTCTGTACGAAATTAATTATAACTTGGAATGAAGTAACTATTTAGTTTTGTTTTCCTCCATTATCATTCCATATCAGCTTATCATATCTTCCACTATTTCTCTCTAATTTTAATTCATTTCTTAGTTTCACTTATAGTCTAATTGATATAGTTTATCACTGATATTTTGTTACTAACAATTAACAATGAACTAATGAGTAAGCTTATCATATCTTCCACTATTTCTCTTTAATTTTATTTCTTTTCTTATTCTCACTTATATTTTTATATTAATTAGTCTAACTGCTATAGTTTATCACTAATATTTTATTACTAACAATTAACAATGAACTAATGAATAGTGAAATTTGATAAGTTCGAAAGAATATTCGTTTCACTGTTAGCGAAAATATTATTAATAAATGGTGAAAATTTTAAAGGTATTTTAGAAAGGCAAAAATTATTTTCAGCTCTTTGAGAGTTTACTTAATATTATCATATATTTTATTTTTTATTAATCATTTATTATTTATCAGTGAATTTTAGAGACATTTCGTAATGGATTATGATCCAACAATTGAAGATTCATATACGAAACAATGTTTTGTCGATGATGATATTTGCAAATTAGAGGGTTCATTTTTCAATTTATTTTCAAATTTTATAAATATTTTAGATCAGGAACGGAAATTTTACAATATTTCAAATCAGTTATGAAATCAGGTTGTTGAAATGGATTTCTTCGTTTTTTTCTCTCTCCCTCTCTTTCTCTTTCTACGATTGTTTCTTCTCCTACAAATTCATTTCATTATTCTAAAATTCAAAATTTGCTTTTTAAAAGGCAAAAAAGCTTCCCATTGATTTGTCGTAAAAAAAAAGTTCAAAATTTTATAAAAATAAAATTTCAATTTGAGGAAATTTTAATTTGCGATAAAATCTTTTTCGTTTTTTTTTGCAGAAAATCATACTAATTTTATAATTTTTGCTAATTCTTAATTTTCAAAATTTCCTAATATAATTTATTTATTTTTTTTAAATTCAAATTTACTAATATAATTTATTTTTAAGTACCAATACTTTGAACTATTTTATTTTTAAGTACGAATAATTTCAACTATTTTATTTTTAAGTACCAATACTTTCAACTATTTTATTTTTACGTACCAATACTTTCAACTATTTTATTATTAAGTACCAATACTTTCAACTATTCTTAGTCATTCCACAAATGAATCATACCTTAAATGAAATTATTTGAATTTACTGCAAATGAAATAAAGAAGGGAAAAAATAGTTTTGCAAAAATATAGAATTATTAAATTCCCAATCTATTAGTAGTAATGATTAGTGTACTGAAATAAATTTGATAATCAATCGATGATTTGATAATTAAAATTCAATTTGAAATTTTTTTAATTAATTGTTTTCTTTAACTATTTGATAATTAGCTTTAATTTAATAAACAATTAGCAAATTTCCTCTTATTCCATCTTTATTTATCGAAACAATTCATAAGTGATTTTCTTATATCTCAAATATTATTACATATTTTCTAAGGCACTGAAAATATTATTTACATTATTGATTGTTAGAAGAAAAGTTATTGCCTAAAAAAGAAAATTGAAATCAATTTATAAATGTATTATCAGGCGAAGGTATAGTTAATTCATAAATATATTATCAGGCAAAGGTATTGTCAATTTATAAATATGTTATCAAGCAAAGATATACTCAATTTATGAATATGTTATCAGGTAAAGGTATAGTAATTGTAATCTTTGGGTTTCTTGAAAATCAATCAGGAAAAAAATTTTTTTAAAAAAAAGCTATAAAAAAACTTTTTGAAAATCAATCTTGAACTAAAAGAAAAATTTAAAACTAATTTCTATAAGACTGGAAAAGAAAGCCTAGTTAAAAGCAAACTGTTTTTTTTATGCGAATCTCATTCTTAATTCTTAAATTCTAATTTAGCTTCCAATTTTTGCAGCAAACTTAAGATAATGATTTTTAATTAGTAAACTCTGTAATTAATTAACATTTTAGTGTTGGATACAGCTGGACAAGAAGAATTCTGTACAATGCGTGAACAATATTTACGTTCAGGCAATGGATTCTTACTCGTTTTTTCCGTTGTTGATCGAAATAGGTTAGTAGTATTTATTTCTATTCTTTCTCAGATCAATAAAGATTTAAAAATTTGAATGAACTTATTGACGGTAATCTGAAAATGGAAAACTTTATTTCATTAAACAAAAATACAGTGATAATTAATTTAGTGATAATGATAACATAAATTTAATTGAAATCGAATTAAAATAAAATAAATTATTAACAATCATTAAATAGATAAGCATAGAATAGTTAAACTTATACATTGAGCTTTCTATATATTATTGCGACAATACTGATAATATAATATGATAGTAATGATTTGTAGTAATTTCATTTTTTTCCGCTAAAGATTGAGAAATAATTTGAAGTAAACGATTAAATAAATAATAGAAAAGAATAGCAAAAGATTAAAAATACATTTGCGAAATTGGAAAGGTCATATGTCAAGTGGTAAAAATAAGCTTGAAATAGTTTTATTAAGTAAGTAATAAAAAATTGGATATTATTAGTAAGATTGAGACAGCTTGTAGTTGTAGTAATTATTGATAACAATGATGATAAAAAATGACAAGAATTATTGGTACAAAAAAAGAAAAAGTATTGATAATGATAACAATGATGATAAAAAAAATGACAAGGATGATATTACTCTGAGTGATGTTTATTGAGACTTCTTCTTCTTCTTCATACCGTTATATTTATACTTCCAAATGTTTATTTGCCCTTATTCTTTTTCGATCGTATCAATTGCCGCACAATGATTTGCATTCGTGTAATCAGAATAAATTTCTGCAATAAAATTGAAATTCTCTATAGAAATTGAATATAAACAATATTTCAATAAATTATTCAAATTTACTTCATCTAATTAGTTCTAATTAAATTTAAAAATTTCTATTGAAATTGAATTATAGGCAAAAATTCCGACACTTATAATCGATCATTCCGATACTTGTAATCTAAATTGCTTGCGAATTAATTATAATCGATACTTGTAATCGAAAATGTAATCGAAATTGCTTATAGTCGAAACTTATAACCGAATTACTTATAATCGATACTTATAATCGAATTACTTATAATCGATATTTTTAATCGAATTACTTATAATCGAAATTTCGAATGTTATATTCGAAATTGAATTATAGGCAAAAATTCTCATACTTATAATCGATCATTCCGATACTTATAATCGAAATTGTTTATAATCGAATTATTTATAATCGAAATTATAACTATACCTATAATCAAATTATTTATAATCGATACTTACCAATCGAATTACTTATAATCAAAATTCCGATATTTGTTATAACGAAATTGAATTATAGGCAAAAATTCCGATACTTCTAATCGATCATTTCTTTTTTTGATGCAGCAATTTTTTTAAATGTTAGAAATGAAATTCTCTATTGTAATTGAAATATAAACAATATTTCAATAAATTATCCAAATTCATTTCATCTAATCAATTCGAAATTAAATTTAATAATAATAAAAATAATAAATAATTCAGATACTTATAATCGATCAATTTTCATTTTAATACAAAATAACTTTTAATTTTTTTTTTTCAAATATTAGAAAATGACAAATTGAATGATTAATTGACAGATATCAATAAATTATTTCATAATAAATAAATATTTTAATTTTCAAAAAAAAAGATTGAAAAAAACAGAAAGAAATACGGTAGAAAAGAAAAATGGGACAAATCATTTTTTAGCTGTTACCTTTCGTTTCTCGAGAAATTGTTAAAATGTTTTGCATTTGATGTAATTCGTAGAAAAGAGAAGAAGAAAGCCATTTTGCTGTCATAAAAACATTTTCAAAGAAATGTTCCTTTTTTTTTTTAAAAAAGCAAATTCAAAATTTTTATTACACACAAAAAGAAATCGACGAAAAATTTATGTCAATGATTGTAATAAAAATAAATGATAGTTTAGTTTAGTAGTGTGGTATAATTAAAGCGGAATAAATGGGATATTTAAATTATTACGTAGTTGAAATTCTATCATACATATTTAGTTCTCTTATTATCTTACATTAAATATCGTCAAAAATAGTTAAGTATTAAATTTTTTTAAACGATAAAATATAATCAATAAAATTACGTCAAAATTAGTAAGTATTAAATTTTTTTAAACGATAAATTATATGATATATTATGTATATAAATTAGCTTTACATAGTCATATTATATTTTAAGCTATTAGCTAGTTAAAATTCTGCGATATTATGAATAATAGCTATTTTAGCATATTGATAATAATAATAATGATGAAAAATGTATATGATAAAAAATTTATATGATAATGATAACGATAAGGAGTGCATATGATGATGATAAAGATAAGAAATATAAATGGCAAAAAAAATCATATTATATTTTAAGCTACTACTTAGTTAAAATTCTGCGATATTATGAATAATAACTATTTTAACATATTGATAATGATAACGATAAGAAATGTATATGATAATGATAATGATAAGAAATATAAATGGCAAAAAAAGAAAACAAAAGACAAAATATTTCTTTTTTTCGAAATGCACATTTTTCCCTAGCTTATAGATAGGATTCATTCTTCTTCCGTTTCTCATTAGGGCTTCTCTTTTGCTGTCATTAATTACCGTGCAATTAGTAGGCTTTCAGGGTATTCTTTGTTACGAGTGTATTAAATGATGCTAAAGATAGGGTAAAGTGATAAAAAGGGAAGAAGAGAGAGAAGGGTGAAATAATTGTTTAAATATAAGCCATTTCAAGAAATGTGTAAAAATTTTTCACACCGGAACTCGTTTGTTTTCAACTTTTATTATTATCATTTAATGCTTTTATTTATCTTTTGTTATCATTCCTAAAAATTTACTTTCGCAAATCGCAAAGATAAAAAAATTCGCAAGAAAAGAAAAAAAGAAAATCGCAGGAAAACATATGTCGTAAGAGAGCGAAAAAAAGATCGGCGAATTGTGATATAATTGCCTTCTTATTACTATCAAGCTAAATGATTATAATTTAAAATTAAGAATTAAATGACGACTGCAAATGTGTGGTAACCGTAACGAAAGAGTTATATTATAATTATTATTGTCTTAGCGTAAATGATATGTCTTCTTATTACCATAAAGCTAAATGATTATAATTACTTTAAAATGACGATTGCAAATGTATGATAAGCATAACGAAAGAGTTATATTTATTATAATTATTATTGTCTTAGCATAATTATCATCTTTATCTTGCATTTGTTATTTATCAGTATTTATTTAAAGAATGAAAATTCTCCAATTTGATTAATATTTTTTTCTTTTACAGTTTTGAAGAAGCTATCCGGTTACATAAATTGATACTTCGGGTGAAGGATCGAGATGAATTTCCAATAATACTTATTGGCAATAAAGCTGATCTCGATAATGATAGGCTTGTAAGTCGTCATATTTTATCTTTCTAACCAAAATTTGATTTTTTAAGAAAAGGAAAATTTAGGTTTATTAGTTTTTAATTAATTGTTTAATCAATGTTCATTTTAACAATTGAATCTAACCAATGATAATTCATCAAATACTTATCATTTTAACATAAATGAATGATAATGGAATGTTGTTGATTAGGAAGCCAATAATATATTTGTCCCACTTCTTATATTATAAAATGAAATTGTTTGAGTGGTAGAGAGAAGGATAAAAGATTCGCCCGAGGATGATACTTTAATTTGTTATATGAGATTTTAAATTTTAGTAAACAATGGTTTATAAAATTTGAGTGTTAAGAATTGTTGCTGATAATTTAGGTCGGTGATTGATAATAATAATATCTTTATCATTCTCCTTTGTACGTTGTTTATTTTCCACATTCCTTCTCAATAATTGATACGGTATCAATTTAAGAGTAATTCCTACGAATATGTCAGAGAAGAAATCAGATTATCATTATTGATCCTCATGATCCAATTATCATTTATGAAAAGTGACAGTTAGATTATTGTTTCAAATATTATAATTCAGTTATCATTAGAATTTTCTCTTTTTTAATGATAATAGATTAATTAGTGAAATGATAATTTAATGAAATTTTTAAGATATCACGACAAGAAGCTAATGAATTAGCAAGGAGATTACGAGTACCATATGTGGAATGTTCAGCAAAACATCGAATGAATGTCGATGAGTCATTTCATAATTTAGTACGCTTAATACGGTTTGTTCAATTATCCATTTGTTCATTTGTAATCATCTTACCTTACCATGAATCATTTTGTTGATTAATCCTATTATCATTAATTAACTCAGGAATATTAGCTGAATCATTTGCTTACTTTTTGAAACCAGTTAAATAATTATTAGGAAGTTAGATTGATCATTTCTATTTTTATCCTCAAAATTTGAATGATTTTTGCTTCTTTTGTTTTTACAGAAATTTCCAGCAACAAGAACGACAATTATCGGATGGAGTTGACTTAAATTCATCAAAATCTAGCGCAAAAAGAAAGCGTTATTGTCGCATGCAATAATAACCTTATCATTCAATATCAATACCCTTATCATACTCCATTTTCCTCAGGGAATTTCATTTCTCTCGTCAACTGTGATGTTATTTTCAGTGTTTTTTTTTCGTTTTATTGTCGTTATTTTTCACTGTGCTTGTAATTAATTAATTAATTAACTTGTTGTCTGTATTGTATTTCAATATATGATTATACTATTTTACTCCTTTTAAAAGTTTTGTTTTTTGTTACAGATTTTTTAAAAGTGATAGCTTTCTGAGAGAGCAAATTGATAAGGTATCGAAATTTGAAGAAGAACAGTATTTTCTTTTTTTGATAAAATCAATTATACTGCTCATCATTGATAAGTCACTGATAAGTGAATGATTTTAAAAGATTTTAAACTTTTAATAGTTTAACGTGTAGTTTTCGTTTTATTTAATGTTCTATGAAATGATTTATTATAGTATGTTAGAAATTTAGGAATCAATTTAGAAATTTTGATAAGAATAGAATTGATAAAATGAGTTATCAAATTCTTGATAAATAAAAAAATTAAACATATATTTGATAATATCATTATTACTTTGTCAGTTGTTATAATATGAAAGTTACCTTTTCTTTTATTGGATAAAAATTTGACGAAAAAACTTGATTAATATATTTGGGAAGAAATATTTCAGGTAAATTGGAATGTGATTAATTTTATTATCGATTAGAAGTTATTCAAAAACATTAGAATCAATTAAAATTATCACTTTCTACTTTTCAACATTTATAAAGTTGATATAAATGATAATAGATGAAGCGCAATAATACGTAATGTGCGTTATTATTTAATGTGGAATTTGATAAGGTGATATATGGTAGCATGGAACTACGATATTTGAATAAAACAGATTCCGAAATTATATTTAGTAGTATTAAAATTTCAGATATTAAAAAAAAATATTTCAGCTAGTTAAAAAATAAAGAATTGAAATGTTTTAATTAAATTTTCAAAAAAATTTGAGGATTTAAATTAAAGAGAAAATATCAGTACAGTATTATAGCATTATATAGTAATATATAGTGTTATATTATAGTGCAGTATTATATAGTGTGAAATGAAATTAGCATAAAACAAGTGAAGTTTATTAACATATTTTATATCAAATATGAGGATACTGTAGTTGCTGCATCACAAATATTGTTAATAAATTAATAAGTAAAATGAACATATCAATTAAAAAACAAATGATGAGATAAGAACCTGAATTTAGGGTCTAGTAATTAAATAATCAATAGTATAATCGTATAATTATAATTAATAATAGTATAATCTTTCAGAAAAAAAAAATCATACAATAGATAATGCTTAGTTTTTATACTTAACTTTTAAATTAAATTATAAATGAATAATTTAATGATGGAAAATTGTAAAACAAAAAAAATGAGAATATATATTGAAGTAAAATTGCATGAAAGTTAAACCAATAAGTAAGTGAATAAATCGATTTTCAATTAATTCTAAAATTAAATAATATTTCATTGATTTCAACCAATTAATAGTTCTCGTTAAAAAAAATATACTAATTTAAATCTTGGGAAAAAATTTTTTATTCAACTATAGTATTTCATAGTGGTACTTCAAAGCTGAACAATATAACTTTCGTAGTGGTACTTCAAAGTTGAACAATAACTTCAAATTGATTGCAAAATTTTCATTAATGCACAGCAATTTCAACAAAGTAGCAAAAATCAAAAAAAAAAAAAGAAAGAAGATGTTAAATTGAGCAGATTTTTACAACAATTGCAATTCTATATATATTATGAAAGAGATCATGCGAACATTTTCGCTGGAGTTCCACGTGCAACCTGAATCACGTGATCAGCAACGTTACCTCGTAATGTCCAGGCTAGAGAACGTAACGAAATTCCACGTTCACAAATTCTTCGTGGTACATTAACTGGTACTACGGTTTTTCGCGTATTTACCTAAAATAATTCAGAATTTGAATAGTAAAAGAGTTGGAATTGAAAATGTTATTTTTAAGCTATGAAAATTATTAAATTCTTTTTACTGCTCATCTTAACTAAAATTATATGTAGAACAAAGCATTCAAAATATTTTACATTTTAAAAGTTTTTCGGAAATATCCTACAAACTCTAAAAGCCATGTAATCAAATATTGAAAGTAAAAGTTGTCAAGTAAATCTCTGGAAACCTCAATCATATGTATGATAAATTTATCCATCATCGTTGAATGTCCTATTTTCCAATTTCCTGGATCATTCCCAAATACAGGAACATATACAAATCTAAAAATGTTTTTTCATCAACATTAAATGTTTACTTCAGAAGGATGGATTTCTATGAAATAAATTAGATTTAGGAAATTTTATTTTAATGCTCTCTCGATATCGATATTTAAATTGCATATAAATATGTACAATTATGATACTATGGAAAGTGAACTTTGATTAGTTAAAGTTTAATTTTTTGCATATTTCCAATTCAGTTGTTGTACTTAGATCATTTTGCATGAAAAGGTATGAAAGCTTTATAATTTCAAAATAATCATTTACCTGACTATTCAAAACAATTTGAAGGTTTTGCAGATTGTACCTTGAATGTTCTCTCACTCATTTATCAATACTCTTTTGAATTACTTCTTTTGAAGATTTTAATTAATCACTAATAATGCTTCATTGATCTGATATTACTCTTATATCCGATACTCTAATTCAAGCATATTTTGTAATCGATCATTATCTTCGTATAAAGCAAAATTATTACTTATCAGTAGCCAATATAGCAGTGTACATGCCACAATTTCCTCTCTTATCCTTATCCAAATATGCTGGCAAATCGATTAGCATCACTTCATCACGGAATTTTTTAAACAATTCAGCATCCAAATAAGTTCTCGCATCCTTATCCAATGTTGGTATTACCAATATCTGAAATAGTTTACCGAAAAAATAAAGAGATCGAAATATTAAAATAAAAAAGATTCCGATAATATCTATTTCTAACACTTAATAATAATTATTAAATGCATAATAATCACTATGTTAATTACAACAATAGTGAACTATCTTCATTTTTTAGTGTACAACAAAAATTTAAACTTCAAAAATACCTTTCAATACGATTTAACAATTTTTAGTTTAATGCAGAATTATGCGGTATTTCTTATTGATACTTCACTTCTACATTAAATTTTACTACAGAATTAAAAATTGTTTAAATGAAAAAATTATATAAACTTAAATTTCTAAGAAATTCTAACCCGATCATCAATAAATGCCATTACATCATCTAGCCGTAATTGTGTGGTATTCAGCGGATTATTAATAATTGTCACCTGTACTGATAATATATTTGGTTATGTCAAAGCGGAAATGAATATTGAAATGAAGAAAATATTTTCTTTCCTTTATCAGTATATCAATTATCAATATGAAGAAGAAAAAGAAATGAAAAAAAAATTCATTTAAATAAAGCTCATAAAAATTATGGGGGTGAAAATATATTTGCAAGATAACTTCTGATACTTGAGTTTCAATAGATGAAGAAATAAATCGCTGAAATTACATATAAATATAAATTTAAATAAATTAACAAATATATCCTGAAATCAATAAATGCTACAAAATATGCTATAACGATATAATACTAAGCAAAAATTTCAAATTTTAGCAATTCCAAAAATAAGCTTTCAAGAATTTTCATTTTTATAATTTAACTAAAAAATAAATACCTTCCTGAAAGCGTTAAAAAGTTTGATCATAATAGCCCATTCCGGTACTTTCCCTTGATTTTCATCCAATACCCTCTACAAACAAGAAAATACTTCCATAACAAAGATCTCCATTGAACGTTTTTAATGCTACGTATCATTAAGCATTCGCATAACTTTTCAACATTGTTGTGCAAGCAATGAATTCTGGATTAATCTTTAGAGATAGGTGAAATGGTTTATTATAAAGCTCGGAAAATTCCGGTAGATTAATTAAACAATTCTTTTGATAAATACTTGTCACCATAATTAGTAAAAAACAAAGTGTTTGGCGTAATTATTGCAAACCATTTCAACATGAAGTAGCAGTTTTTAAATTTCATTCCAAACCTTATCAATGATAGCTCTGTTGATACCATTATCGACAACATGTTGTGCGGAAAGTATCAATTCTAATTCTTTTTTATCAACGCGTATTTTATAATCCTCAATGAATCGTTTGATACTTTCATCAATTTGTCTTGCGGCGATCGTTGCGAAATTGGGAGGCCTCGAATCGATTTCATTTTACAAATGATTTCCATCATTTTATTTCATTCATTATTTGTACTTTAAATTTTTTTCCCTGTTTATTGTTGATTTTCCAAATCAACAATCGTTAATTTCTTCAATGGTCAGTTTATAGTATCACACTCTATGAAATGTCCAATGTCAACAATGTCCACTGTCCATTTTTTGTTTCGTACGTGTTTGATCAAGGAAAAAAAGCTTACAATATCAGTTCAAAAAGTGATACTAAAGATATATAATGAACTTTGACATATATAGTCAACTTTTGAATTAATTGACCTTTGTTATAAGCACTATTTTCTTGTTCTACTTCTAGCTTTTAAAAATACTTTCTACTATATATTTTTATTATCCATTTGATTATTTGAGTTTTTCTCTCGCTTCAATGATATGATCCAAATATTTCCTGGAAATATTTTTATACCAAAAATAGAAAAAAAATTTACCTATAAGAAAATTTGACAAGTTGTCGTACACCAAATGGTGCAAAATCTCTAATATTGATATCATAAACGGATGCCTGAATTAAAGCATCTAACGGTAAACGTGATTTCATGGATGGACTTCTTCCATCCAAATATGGTAATGTATGCTTATCAGCAAGTATTACTACATTATCGTGTTCTGCAAAGAAATGATATGCAAATTAAAAATTTCTTGATAGGTTAATTTAAAATTAGAAAATTTACAGGCACTTAAAATTCTGCACCTTCTAAATAGTTGAAATCGACATATTGAACTAAAATTTGCTAGGAATTTTATGAAATCAAATATTCTACCATCTCGTATTTCAACCTTTACATTTATAATCCAACAAATGCTTAAAAAAATTAAAACTATTCTCCGGATATAGGAATGTACCGTTCATGTTAATTTTCAATTTTAAATTTTACCATAGGAAAAAATACACTACCCTTTCCAGTTAACTATATGATATAAATTACTATAACTATAAATTTTTTCTTTAAATGATAATTTCATCTGAACTCATTAAACGGATACCATGTATTGTTTTTGCAAATTCGATCTGAAATGCAATAATTGTCTCAAATAAATCATGATAATTGTCGTCCCTGAAATAAGACAGCTGCTTATTTTTCTATTTAATTAATTAAAAATTCAAGTTAGGCGACTTTAAAGGAAACAAATAAATATGCTTTTTAGGAATATCAGAAATGATATAATTGGATAATTTGAAATGAATTAATTTGAAATGAAAAATTACGATAAAAGAAAAATTTTTTTCTTTGCAAAAAATTTCCTTTATAATATTTTCAAATTTCAAAATCAAATGGTACCGATCAATTATAATTATGCTTTTTGAATATACATATATGTATATAAATGATATTTTCCAATTTTTAGTAGCAATTAAAAAACCCTTAAAAGGGTCTCTTTTTTTTCTTTGAGACAATCTGTCGCCTTTTTGCCAGTTGTTTGGAAAAAAGAATCAACAATACAATTCGATATGATTTGAAACTGGTTTTCAGCAGATATGCCGATAAATGATTTATCTTACATTCGCCAATTTCTCACGGTCAAATGTCCAGAAATGGAACTATTGAAGTGGTCAAATCTTTAGTATAATAACTAAATACTACTTGAAATTAGAAATGATTAAGTTAATCTAATTTGGCTTGCTAACAGTTAGTGATCCAAAATTGCTTCAAACATTTCATATAAAAATTAGTTTACTTAAAATGATAAGAATTTTCCAGTATTTACAAATGGAGTATCAGAAGAGAGTGGATATCAGGGAAAGTGTGACAACAATAATAGCTATCAAAATTAAGTCAATTTTGAAGAAATTTAATAAAATTCATATGATTGATAATATGATTGATAAAAGAACTGATAATCAATCTGTAGAAGTGTTAAATTTTTTCGAGAATTTCATATGCAATAGAATTTTCATCTTAAAAATTACATGCCAGATGGAATCAATGAATAGAAACGTAATGAGAATGATAAGCAACATTAGACTGTTTATATTTAGTAGCATTCTAATTCAATTAAAACGGATCATTTAATATCATATATCAATTTTAACGATGCTCAAGAATATTTATTTAAACCTATACAAAAAATTATAACAACAAACCATATGGATGGTGCTGATAATACAATAAGCGCTCGATCAGGTTTATGAACATTGTAAAATTCCGCCTGTATTGGTTGAGTAATTAGTAGAAGTAAGACACCAATAATATATATCATACAATGGTACCATAGTTGATTGCCAGTGTAGTAGTAGAACATTGCCAGATAAAAGGGAAGGTAGTGGTTGCGATGCCGTTTGTCAGTAACTGGATCGTTATCACCACATTTTTATATCCCAGCTGTGCGGTAATGAATCCTTCTTCCATATTTCTCCTGTATTACTGCTATTGCTGTTGCGTTTTGTTGTTAACAAGAGAAATGGGCGGATAATTGAATAAGTGAATGGATAGATGGAAAAGGCGAAAGGTTCAAAATCCGGAAAAATAGAGTTCATGCATAAATTCATCGTCAATCGTCATTGTTGTTGCTGTTGTTTCGTTGATTTTCGTGGATAATTAGGTTGTAATCTCAGCTTTTTCGTTGCGCCTGAATGCATCACAATTCATACATCAAAAAATCAGGATTTTATACCCTCCGGGAAATTAAAAGCATGTTTTACACTGATACATACATACACACAAATACACACACACACACACACACACACGGACATAGATGACATGCACTACTATCATTATCAATACTATTACTACTATTGCTATTATCACTATTATTATCGATATCAAACTAATGATTCCTGCTACTACTACTAATTATCCATTATCAATAGGTCAAACAGTAACAGCAAATTCAAAATATCCCAAAATTTTCTGGATTTTTTTGAAGCGAAAAAAAGAACCGGTTTATTTGAAGGAAAAAGAAATCCTTTTTCGAAAAAGGTAAATGGGCCATTTCGTCTTAATTTGTCACAAAAAAAAAGGTAATGTTTTTGTGCAGTAGAAATGTATTGTTAACCTCGACGATTAATGACCTGAAAAATTATTTTCACTTTCTGCTAAATAAAATAGAATGAAAAAGAACTTAGCAAAATTTCCAATCTTTCCTAATTAACTAATTTTGTGATACTTCATATTCTAATTGTTTGTTAGAAACAATTAATATAATTACCTAATAAATTTTCCAAAGCAATCATTTTTATAATGCGGATGTGATAAATTGATATTTTTGCTAATATCGGATGGAAATTTTGTATCAGATCAGATTTATTAGATAGTATTAATACGTGATAATTGAAATTTAACCATTTTAAGTACCATCAAATTATATTTTCTTTTTTTTTTTTCAAGATTCCTGCTAATTTCAGTAAAGGTATGCTAAATTTTGAAAACAAATAATTTAAATAATATATCGGACAAAAAAATTTGAGATGATAATTGAAATTTAACTGAAATAATTGGAATGATAATTAAAATTTAGCTATTTTAAGTACCATCAAATTATGTCGTTTTACCATTCTTTTTCTTTTAAAAATTCCTGTGAAATTTCATTAAGGCATGGTAAATTTTGAAAACAAATAATGTAAATAATATATCCAAAAAAGAAGAAACATTTATTGATAACAACAAAATTATCGGAAATTGTGGCAATTTAATCAATCATATATTTGTAATATCATCAACGATGAAATTTATTTCGAATGATAAAAATTGACTCGTTTAGATGCCAGAAATAGGTAAGTAATTTATTATTTTAAATAATAAAACTTAAATTCGTACACGATCATAGCATTGAGATATTGAATGCTATCGAAAATATCAAGAGAAATTAATTAGTAATCTTCAGAATGTATACAATATGTTTTATATCGATTGATATAGTTAGAAGAAAGGAGTCAAATGGTAGGAGAATTAATCTAAGTAATTCATCGTTTAAGTTTTAGATAATTATTTGTTGAAAGGTGTTGAGAGTGATGCAACAACTATTGTTCTTGTTTATATGAATTCTATTGGATAATTTTCAGAAGAAAGGTTTTAAATAATAATTAAAATTAAGAAATAGTTAAATTTTAGTTAATTAATAATAATCGAAACCGGAACAGTTCCAATTTTTGTTGAACTCTAAACAAGCACCTTTTTTACGAGAACATACTGGATTTGTTTATGGATTATTTATTTGAAATGGAACAAGATACTAGGAGGAAGAAAAGAAATTATCGGTATACTTATTTTGCTGCAAAAATTTCCTGATTAAGAAAGAAGAAACGATCAGGAATGGGAGATCTATCCTATCAGTACGTTATTACCATTACTATAATATTACTATAACTATTATTATATTATTACTATATACTATAATATTACTATTAACTATTACTATAATATTACTATAATAAATTACTATTCTTATATTGGATACTATAATACTATAATAATATTGCTATAATACGTTATTGCTAGTTACTCTTATCTATTCTATCAGTTATTACTATCACTATAATATTACTATAATCTATCAGTACGTTATTACCATTACTATAATATTACTATCACTATAATATTACTATAATACGTTATTACTATCACTATACGTTATTACTATCACTATAATATTACTATAATACGTTATTACTAGTTATTCTTGTTTTTTCATAGGAATTCAATAAATATAAAAATTTTTTGTCTATTTCAGTTTTAATAAAAAAAGGAAAGAAAACCAAATAATGACCAAATGACCAAATGATCAGTTCATATCAAATAAACGTTCCATATCGTAATAAGTTATTAAGATTCGTTACATTTAAAATTCAAAATAAATGAGGTCAAAAGAGGACGAAAAAAAATAGGGTTATGAGAGGTTATGAAATCAAATCCAAATAAGGTACCCATTTAAAGATAAAAAAAGTATTGCACAAATTAACTTTCTTTATGGTTGCAAACAAAATTTTGCTTCTTAAGAAAAATTTACTATGCAACTGAATTTATTTACTGTAATCTATAATCTGTTAGTATCATCAATTTTCTTTTGACTGTTAGTATCATCATTTTCCTTTCGACTGTTGTCAGTATTATCATTTTCCTTTTGACTGTTGTCAGTATTATCATTTTCCTTTTGACTGTTAGTATCATCATTTTCCTTTTGACTATTAGTATTATCATTTTCTTTTTGACTGTTAGCATTATCATTTTCCTTTTGACTGTTGTCAGTATTATCATTTTCCTTTTGACTGTTAGTATTATCATTTTCCTATCACTTTCCTTTTGAGTATTATCCTTTTGATCATATTACTTTTCCGATCATCTTCCTTTTGAGTATTACCCTCTTTCAGTTAATATGATCAAAAGTAAATCAAAAAATCAAAAATTAAATATAGATCAGAATTTTTATCATTGTTTAAAATTCTCAAAAGTAATAATCATTTATCGTATAAAAATCAAAATACTTCGTACTTTTCTGCAACAAATATTTCAGTAAATTTGCGTAAAAATAGATTCCGATATGGTATCCGGAAACTTCAATCTGATTGTATATTACAATACAATGAAGGCTTATTACATAAGTGGAAATGAACACCGTTAATGGTGCAAAGGAATCCAGATACGAAGATATTTATTATCGTATTGCATTATTTTCGTTTTAAGATGCAATTTTTGTTGTCTTTCCCGTTCCAGTAGCATCGCTAAAAAGGAAGGGCAATAGGTTGTAGAAATTTACCAAACAGGTTTCTAATAAGCAAAAAGGAAGCATTTTCATTCGATCCATCTTTTCGCTGAAAATTGAGTCGCTTGCACACCATGTCATTGCATTCAGGTTAAATGTCATGTCAACCAAACTAAAAAGTCACCCGGCATTTGCGGTCATGCCCTCATTAACCATTCTTTAATTACAAAACCTAACAAATTGCAAACATCCATTTTTTCGCCGCACTTCCCAACATCACTGATCAAAAACGTTCCGGATATCAATACCACCCGCGACCGGCCAAACAGGCCGTTCCCATTGGCGTTTCCCTTTCATTCCCTGCCTCATTGTTTACATTTTAATTTCACTATCGCTATTGGGTACTAAAGGTCACCAAAAGATAAGCGATTTGGGGCATTTCCTGTTTTAAGCGACTTCGAATTCCGCGATTGGGTGACAGCACCACTCCTTTCGTGATTCAATGAAGGAACAGGTACTGCTGCTGATATCTTGCAACCAAAATATAAACCACGAATTCTTTGCCCCCTCTTTTCTATTATCCGCTTGATTCAATTTCTATCTCAAAGTTCATACTAACAATCCGAACTCGAAATTGGGACTACTTTCCTGTGCATGCCAAATGACTTTAATCCTGATATACGAAAAGTCTCGAGTTTAACTAAGTGCAAGAGATTATATACACCAAAACAGCTTGATATTTCTCTACATATAAAATTTAGTTAAAAATTTTATTCCATTTCTTATTCTGAAAGCTGTGTTAAAAAAATTGTTATGTCAATGCTGGATGTCACCAGTGAGATTGAAAGATTTATTTATATGAATAAAATGCAAAGACGAATCAATGGAACTACAGCAAATCAAAAACAATAAAAATAAGAAAACGATATTTGATTTGAATGATTTTCCATTTAGAAAATGCATTTTGCATTTTCCAGTTATAAAAACTACTACTTTAATCAACATCCAATTAAGTTGAATAATCTTCTAAAACATCAGTCAAATGTTCATTATGAACTTTCTGATTAGCCCGTTTCCGTGGAAGCTTTCGTTTTGGTGGTGCAACAATTACTTTCTTTGGCCCGAAATCTTTCATCACATCAATTCCATGTTTCTGGAGATATTCTTCGATCTTCTTCTCGTCCAGATGATCAACAGATGCATTCCTCCACAAACTTTTGAATTCTGTAAAAATGATGAACAAGATCTGTACATTTTACTCTTTTAAAATTAGGAGAGGCAACAGGAAGTCTCATCAATTTTATTCCTTACATTCAGACTGGAATAGATTTCATTTCCTTCTAGGATTCATCTGCTAAAGCCTATTATCCCTAGAATAATCACGATAACGTAATGAAACTCAATATTATATCATTCACTATCATTAGTTTATTGAAAGTTCTTATTCTCATAAAAATCAGTCCCAAAATTTCTTATCAGTAACGTAAGCTAAAATTGTCCGAATTGAAAAAGGAAATAGATATATTACCATTAACAGTAAATAGACGCTGTAAGCAAAACAAGTTCCAAGGTTTCTATTGAGAACAGGAAACATATCTTACTTTCATCAACTTCGTAATCAGTATCAGGATCACTATAAAAATAAACATGATCTTTGCGCTTGTTGATCATCGTCTGCACATCAATTACAACATTACTAAGTGCCTAAAATGGATACGTAAATACAATAGACACAATAGCAGGTAGGATGACGTTAATTTCTATTCATCGTTCTTATTCAACCGTTGAAATTCCTATCAGTATCAGATTCGATCAACTGTAATCTCTGCAATACTTTTTAAAGATGATAAACGAGTTAGTAAAACCTTCCAAATTTATATAATAACCTCAATATGCTTTTCAGCAGCCGGTATGCACTCGTTGAGATCCGATAATAAGATGCCGCCTTTTCCTTCTATATGATATTTTTTGAGTAGTGCTAACAAAGAATTCTTTCCTTTGATCTTGTAAGGCGGTTTGAAAAGATATTTCCCATTTTCATCAACAGTTAACCGTGGATTCATCGGCAAAGACTAAAAAGGAGGATTTAAATTTTTATTCAATAATAGATTGATTTAAAGAGATTGATAGTAAAATTGATTGCACAAGTTCGAAAATTTTCTCGTCAAAATTTATAAAAAATGTGATTGTTCCTAAAATTGAAAGCTTCCGAATTACGAATAAAAATGAAAAATAAAGTTCTTCTAGAAGCCAGAATTAAAAAATAATAAAACAAAAATTAAAAGCAGCAGATAAAAACAGACTTCCTGAAGCCATAACTCCGATTTCTTTCCAAGGTCGTATATTTGTAACTCCTCCAGTATCTCCTTCAAACTTAGGGGCCACTGTTGCGATGATAAATGCCGTTTCTACAAGTAATAGAATGGCAACAATTTGAAATAAGAAATAAGACCTAACCACATAAAGACTGAATTCATTACTGGAAAAAAAGTATTCACTAACGGATATCTCATAACCCTGATTGTTAGTCATTCCACTTACACTAACTTCTGACTACATCATTAGTTAAAATAAAGAAAAGTTTTTACTCAATAATTGTCTCTTTTACTTAAGTATGAAGCATCTATAAAGTAAAAAAGAATAATCTTCCTCAATGAGTGTGCAAGCATAATTATTACGAATTGAAATACTAACTAAATAATAATAAGATATTTTCGGAGTGGAAATAAAGATCAGATGAAGCGTAGAATTTATATTACCTTCATGTAATCAACAATTTTCGCCATCGTCCCAAAATTTACAGCGTTTGATGCCAAGTGAGGGGGAACAGTTTTAGTATTGAAGTCGGATAAAGCTGGAAGAGTACGATTTTATGCAAAGAGAAATAATAGCTTTTGCGAAATAAAACCTCTTAAAAGCTTTTTGAAACACAAATGTTGCTTTTGCATAAATGGCTAATAACATTTTGATTTCGATACAAATTATGAAAAGAATTCATGTAGTACTGGCATTTCTTAACGTTGAAAAAAATGATGTAATTTTACTTGCTGTATGAACAAAAAGTTGAATACTTAACAAAGAGATCATTATTCGATAATATTGAATGTGCAAAAAACATAAATAAGAGGATATAAAGTTTACATTTGATTGATAACTGTGAATCGTTATATACTTTGCGTTTTTTCTTCCGACTTGCTTCAGCACTAAAATTTCCCAATCATTAGAATCATCATACACTAGTCTTAAACAAAAACCAAGAGCAGAAGAAAACGTACTCATATGTAGTGTGAGACGTAGATGCCGTACTTTTCCGAACCATTTCAAAAGCTTGTGAAGCTCGAGATTTGAATGCTGCTTGTTGTTTTAATAATGCCGGATCCATCACAATCCTGAAATCCCCAGTATCACCACAAGCTAACCTGACAAACACTAGTGCAGACCACCAATCCCCTCACTTCACCTGACTACTCACTGTGTCACAATAAATATCGCGGTACACATTCGATGGGCAATGAAACAAGCTCGTCACATATAACGGCAAGCGTTATTTATTAAACTTAGCGTGGTCATAAGTAGTATTGACTTGTTATTTCCAAATTTCTTTTGTTTGCAGGAACTATGACCAACAAAGGTTTAGTCCATCTTAAGAAGATGTTCCGCGATTTTGAGACAACGAAAGATTTCGCATATTGTGTACGGAATGTAAGTTTTCAAACTTTTCTACAAAATAGAGTAATAGTGCCAACCATCCTAATTCTTATACAAAACATTGCTGAGTGATAATTTTGGCTTGTAATAACGGTCGGAAAGTAAACATTGCTAATATGAGATCTAGACAATCATTAATGTCTTCAAAGAATTGAAATAATCCTTTTATTTTAAGATCATATAGTTCTCCGGCTGGCTAAGCGTCAACCTAGGCAAATTAATCAGTTTTAAGACAGTCAAACTTAAGTTGACGTAGAAACTTCCACCCTGTGATATATATGCATCTTGTCACTTATAAAAGGAAGCTAAATTTTGAACAGTGAAACATCGGTATTGAAGAAGCAAACATTACTGTTACTAGAGGTATCAGTTAAGCAAAAATTTCGCCGTAATAACAGTGATAGTATTTAACTGGGAGACACAACCATTCAGATAAGGATCTTTAATAACAAAAAAGGATTAGCTAAAAAGCCATGGTCTAAAATACTGTTTAACTATCGACCCATCTCCATCACAAACTGAATAAAACAGTCGCAGTTCCCTTGCCATCCGTCTGTACTGCACATAACGTAAAAGAAAAGAGAACAATACTATAACCCTGTATACATTTTCATTTTTTCCGATATCGGCAATGATAATACATCATATGACTGATCAGCTGGTCGCATGCTCGTTCCTATTTACTGCAGTGCGTGGTAAACAAAGCTACTGAAAAAGGACATGTCGAAATTGAGTTGAAAATAGCCGACGAACATCTGAATCCGTCCGGTACAATACATGGCGGCTTTACAGCAACATTGGTCAATATCGCCTCCACTGCAGCTGTTCTCGCTTCCGGTAAACCGGCAGGTGGGCGTTCCGTGGACTTATCCATTTCGTAAGTTAGACTTTTAATATTTTTCAGAATTACTTGATATCTTGGATCACCAATAAGCTATCCAGTTTCTCCAAAAATTTAGCAGACGAAAATTTGAAGCTGCTGAATTATTAAATTTGTTCATCCAATACAGGGAATTCATCTAAATTTTACTGCACTTTGTAATAGCATTTTAAAATAAGCAAGAAGAAATAAATGGAACACGGTTGAAAATTTTAAAGCCAAATTAGCTTCTGCTAGGTATCAAAGCGTAGCGAAGCCTGGTGAAACGATCATTGCCGAGTCAACTGTCCAAAAGACAACCCGTAACTTAGCGTTCATCAGCACAAAAGTTTACCGGAAAATCGACAACATGAGTATAGCCACTGGTCAAGAGACGAAAACATTCCTGCCAGTTGAGTGAAAAAATCTAACAAGATTTATTGTCTTACAAATAGGCGTTTATAAAAATTGAACTTTGCACAACAGCTCAGCCATTATATTTCACAATATTTCTTAAAAAACAAAAAGAGCACTTTAGTTTCACTGAGGATTACATCCAAACAAAATAAAATGTGAAAAATAAGAAAAAGCTACAGTGAGGATTCAATTGTAGGATTTTGAATAGCCAAAACGCATCTCAGCAATCTAGAAAACAGGCTTAACAAAAATCGATCCATCCGAAATTAAATCCTTTTTTAAATGCTGTAAAGATTCCCATCTTGATCATAATTATATATTCCCATCATTTTCATCATAATTACAATTGATTGTAATATACGATACAACATTATTAGAAATATAAATGTTAGTGATCAGCATTAGTTTGAAAGACATATCACTTTTTTACAATGAGTATATCTATTTTTGCTTTGGAATGAGTTCGAGACCTATCATATGCTTCTTTTCAATACCGTATTTGGAAAGAAGATTGCTGATGAAGAGAATCTGAAAATGAAGTCCACTCGAATAATGATGGAAGACGAGATAGGAATTAAAATCAAAAAGATATCAGTAAAAAAACCAACTTCTTACAAAAATATTACAAAAAAAATTCGTTAAATTCTGCATTAAAAAACTTAACGGTAATAAATAGACAAACTTATTCAAAGAATCATAGCGCTTCAATTAGAACATTCTAGCTTCTTTACGAAACTTCATGATATTATGAAAACTATCAGGAAATGATCTCAAAATGTTAGAGAACTAAAATACTAAAAGAAAACAGGAAAACGACTTACTTGGTTTCCTTGCACCAAAACTTGAAAACCTTCACATTCTGCAGCATTATTCACAACAACAGCACTTGTCGCCACACCTGTCTGTATTTCGTGACAAAATCTTTTAGAATCGATTCCGTAAATACTTAGATTATTCACTAACGTAACTTTCTTATTGCCAGCGCGACTTTCAATCTAAAACTTATAATTATGAAACCCCTAGGAAATTTTTTTTCGGATTTTAATTAAAGAAAATAGTATAATTTTTAAATGTTAATGCTAAAATATTAGAGAACTTTTTTCACTTCACTTCATGTTTTAATATGTTATGGATTGCACTACTCCAGTACATACTTATTTTGTGTAAGTGAAGTAACGAATAAAGTATTAAAAAGTGCCAACAAGGGAAAAATGAATTTGCACAAACATCAATACAATAATTTTCAAAAAATTCTTCTATATTTGGTACCTATTATAAACAAGATTATTATTATAGACTACTATATACAAGAACACCTTTTTCCCAGTAAGCAATTTACAGAGAGATGGCATTTCATAATCCAGCGCATTGCAAAATAAGTATCAAGGTACTGTTGGCATGTAAAGAACTGCTTACTAGAAAAAAGTGCATGAAAACTTAACGAGAATATCTATTACAAAAAACTCCAACCTTAAATGTAATTTTTGGCAGCGTTGACTTCCGCATCAGTTGTCGTCCGTCAGGCCAAGTAATTACATAGGTTTTCGTCATTTTTGAAATAATTTTTTGGAACAGTGTATTCCAGTCCACTGGCTCACGAGATCCCAACAATGATACCAACACATTATCACTCGGTAAAATTAGATTTCCCTTCATAGTTGGATTCTAAAAATAATTGGAAAATAATAATTTAAAACATCCACGCATTTAAACAATGTATAAAAATTATCAAAGAGACAAAGCGGTTCAAGAAGAGAGTTAATGTGAGCATTCAACAAAAATACGTATTTTTGTTCTCAACACATTCAAATGCTAGTACAGCCATATCTAAGACTCTTATGGTTTAGGTTGCCTTGATAATATTGTAAAATATCATTGCCAAAGTAATCTAAATTATAAGAAATACTGTATAATCCCTTTAGTACAGATGAGAGATTAAAAAGAAACGAATTAGTAAATTTTGCGCTCTGAAACTAATCTAAAAGATTAACATCTGAATATATAACTTACCATGTTTTTAACATATGCAGTAATTATTTGCCTTACTTGTGCCTTGTCCATCAAGTTATCTTTCCCATGTTGATTAAAAAAAATTGCTGAAACTGGCTTGGTAACTGCAAGGTAATCATCCACTTTAATCAGCCTCTTTTCAATTTTTATATTATCAATTTTCTCATCACTTATCTCAAAATTCTTCAAGAGTGGGTGCATCCAATTTATCTGAAACGTTCAAAAATTTTAAATTCATTAGAACACATTTAAGTTATGAAGAAATGTCTTTGTCATTCAAACCATTTCCTAATGACAGTAACTACTGGGATATTCTGAAACAAAGGATGTACTTCAGATCTCGGAGCAACAGAATCATGATCTAGCTGCTAAATTTCATACAGAAAGCCCAATCTTCATATAAATAGATAAAGTCAATTACTGCAAATTACGAAATGAAAGAGAAACGGAAAATTCGTTTCCAATGCAAACCTCTGCAATCATTTCCGATCCCTTATTTTTATGTACTATGAGTTTTACAATGGGTTCACTTCCGTTTTTATTGATATCTTCCAGGAAAGCGCTGAATTTCTTGTACACTGTTTTTTTCATATCAATCCGTCGACCCGATGGTATACATGGTAGGAGATAGTGTGAATAAAATTCTCCAACATTCAATGGCAATTGACCCTTTTTGGTTACACGATACTTCAGTGCAGCCAAAAAACACCGTTTTAGCTGAAAAAAAACTCATTTCCATGACTTCAAAATAGTTTTGCTGTTTTTTTAAATTTTTATACGTGGAAATTTTTTAATGATTTCACAGACACCGGCTGCATAAAAACAAGCTTTAGAAAAAAATGAAAATCTTAATTACTAAAAAACGAAGAAAATGAAATTTTCAAAATTCTCAAATGGACAACCAAACCAACCAAAGTTTCTGTTGTATCAGAATCCTTGTATTCTTTTTCAGCCTGCTCTTCCGGAGCAATAGTTAATTCATCATATTCTTGCCTATCATCCAAAGCAGCATCAAACGATGACTCTTTATGTCCTTTATCATGCACTTCGGCAGTATTTTCATTCAAAACTGAGGAACTCAAAGCTGGAAATTCAGTTTCATAGCTTCTGAACGATGGATCTGCTAAACCCATACTTTCAACTGCGATCTCCAAGGGTTTTGTGTGACTTCCCACATCCCTAAATACATAAAATGAAAAATATAAACCACAAACTTATAGTGATTAAAGGTCGAGTAATTCGAACACAAGGCAACTATCTATTTGAACTGGTAAAAAGAATGAAAATTTAGAAACGTACTAGTTCACTAACATTAAAATGGTATATATATATTGGAGGAAAAGTTCCAAACATATGCGTATACAATTTACATACATATACACCGCATAAATAAAAATATATCAAAAGATAACCAAAGTAGATCGCCGTAGAAGTGCAACAAACGAACACCTGGTCCTTGCATACCAGTTGCTATCATTTGCATCGATGACATTAACGAATATCCTACAGCTACAGGACCTTAAATACATTGATGCTATTGACTTTATCGTTAAAACATTAAACATATTGATGAGGAAATCCACATACACATTATGAATGACCCGCTGAGTTAAGCATAAATTTCAGCTATTTTTCAGTTTTCAATCAAAAATTGTTAATAAATATTAAAGTAAATAGAATTTAAAAAATTGCACCAAAGCAATAAAAAAATTGATCGCAAAACATTAACCATGAAAGAAAAGCGGAGCTGGAAACGGGGTAGGTGTACATAAAGCAAATAAAACCATAAAAACGAAGTTGACGAACCTCGAAGCTGATTTGATGATGTTAGGACAGATATCGCTACTGCTGCATGACTACCAAACTCCAAAGTTTGTCGTAATGGACGAATTACACCTGGAATAATAACTTTAGAGAAATAGCAAAATTTTCAAAAAAATACTAACCCTGAAGAAATAAATCAGCTCCTTGCAACAGTTTTTGATATACATACTCATTGATGACAAGTACAGCAAACGCTTCTGGTATTCTCCACATCAGGTAAACTGAAAAAAAAGCAAATAATACCAACTAGCTATTCTTTTTTATTGAAACAGTGATATGAGATGAATCTAGAATTTATTCCGAATAAATTTTTTTGCATGAAATACTTCAAATTTAGGCTATAAAAACATCATTAACATGTCATATCACTGTTTTTGGCCAACTTCACGAACCTGTAGGATAGAGTACTTTTTCTCCCACTATAGTAAACAACAAAGGTTCTTTATCGAATGTGTAAACATTCACATTTTCTCCTTTGTTGCATTTCACATGCATTAAAGAAGCCATCGTTTTGTTGGTGACACCATCAATGGGAGGTAAACGAGCTAATAGCTTCTTCCTGAAATAAAAGACCTCTAACAAAAAACAAGTTAAAAAATTTTTTTTTCACTAATAACATTATGGATATGTATAATGGTATTGCTGGCTTGTTTCATGCTTCATTCGTTTTCTAATCAAAGACTGACTAGATCTACCGACAATCATCCTGTCAATTAACTAAGATAACTAACTTCTCCGAATTCCTGATGCTTGTATCACTCCTTACTGTAAATGGTTTCTGAAACATCGTTTTATATCAGCCCGGTACATTGCCCGATTTAAACTTCCGGGTATTGAAAGTATTGCATGGAAATATTCGATGAAACGTTGTATGAAATTATTCTGTCCTATGAAGTAGTTGCATTTGTCGTTCATTTATTGTAGATACTAAGGTTGCTTAAAAATAATAGGGAAAGGTCTAGTCCGCTGATATATTTTTATTCATATAAAAATGTGGTAGGTAAAATAGGTCAAAATCATGATTCGAGACAAGAGCTAGATTAGTACAAATAAACGGTGATCCAATTAAAATTTCTAATTTCAAATTAAATCAGAGATCGAAACCAAAATTTTTCAATTTAATTGAAGAGTTACATATTGTTTATGTTTCGTTCAGTATACGACATCGAGGGGAGCGAAGAAAGCAAAGATGGCGATGGATAAAATTATCAAACCAGAGAAGAATGAATTCATTTCTCCTCTTGTCAATTTCGACACATTTGGACAGGTATTTGTTACACGTGTACTAACTGAATTCTTTGAGTGGATTGTTTGTAGAAAGTTCTGTATGCCCGAAGAAAAATGGCCATCACTCAGAAAATCGGTGTGATGCTCATAATGTTGCTGAGATTGTTGTTATATTACACCCTCATCTCTTCCTCTACCTCACCTCATTCCGTGAATTACTCACAGAAAAGATTAAGTTCAGTGCAATACAGTTGAAATTCTCTTACGGTTGAAATTTTTTACCTTACGAAAACCTAAATCAGTGGTAAAATTAAGTAGTACTGATATAGGCCTGTGTTGATATGCTGTTAAAATGCGTCATTTGAAATGCAGATTTGATAAAATTAGGTCGCAAGGAAACAATGGAATTGTCTGCGAAAAGCTGTTTCATTGGAACCGTTACTCGAGTTCAGTTATCCAGCTGATATGCCTGAAGCGCCGTCGTACGTTCATAAACGTGTATTACGTGATAATGAAGATATCGATGACAACGAGACAACAGCTGCAAAATTGCAGAAAGTATTTGGTATACAAGATGACGATGCGAGAGATATGGTTTCTAGTTTGGAGTAAGTTTAACTTTTTCGCACTATTGCATCATAAACTTGCATCTTAAACTTTTTTAAAATGAACATTGAAAAAAAAACTTTTCTTTCTAGAAGTTCTTTCGAATTAAATTTATTGTTAATTTATCTTTATTTAAAACAAAACATAATGCGAATTTTCGTTCTCAAAGCAAGATACATGAGTTTTTTTAACATGAAATTAATTTTTTCCTTTTTACAAAGAAATACAGCATTAATTTTCGTTTTTTAAACTCAGCGTAACATAAATTTTTAATTTAGAGCAGTTTATATTGTGAGCTTTTTTTTATAATTAAACTGATGACGAATAAAATAATAAAATACATCTGCATAATACTCCAAAAAGTACTTAAGATGCCAAATCGACATGCTCTTATTGATGTAATTCATTCAACCAGATTAACTTATGAAATATGTGCATTTCGTTGTCGCACGATGTTAAGCCCTCAATCATTATATTTTTGGTATTCAAAATCAAACAATTATCAGTTTAATATTATCTTTAATATCGATATCGTCTTCCAGGATTTTTTACATTTTTACGGTTATGTAGCTATTTTTAATTTCAGTCTTGTTGAATCAATCTTTTACGCTAAAGGGATCTTTTCAGTGTCAGTCATTTTGCTTTACTCAATAAACGAGATATATTTTTTCGGAAGAAAGTTGACCTTGAAGATATACCTGCCGATACGGAATTAGAAACTTTAAAGTATGTAATTTAATTGATGCAGTAGCTGATTACAATATGTTAGTCATTAATACCACTTGAATCACAGAAGTATTGTATGATTCTTATTGCTCTTATAATGCGACTAGAGCATCTTTCTTCATTCGAACCTTCTTTATCCATTACATGCCTCTATTTTATATTTTGTTATTTGTACTAGAAAGTGAAAAGTGAAAATATTAGGAATTTCAGATTTTTTACCTCTTTTTTGACTGCTCAGTTTCGACATTTGAATTGCTTTGGTAAAAATATGATGCTCAAAATTTTGCTTAATTTACAGATTGAAAAAAAAGGTGTTAGATATGTTTAATCCCATCAAGAAGAAGCCAGCGGGTCCTTACGATGATCCACGGTAAAATTTTACCAATTCTCTTTTCGTATTATTTGCTTTTCAGTTATTTGAGATAGATTTAACTTATAATGGAGAAATTATTTTTTAAAAATGGTTTGATGCTGGACAGAAAAATCGAAGTAGTTGCTCTTAAAAGAAAAAAGAACTACATCTCACGAGAATGAGGCATTCTTCAATTTTAGGCAGCGTGAACAAAATCTGAAGATGAGAAGGAATATACAACAAAGCATGTGCTATGGTAGTACTGTACTCAAATATGGTGACTATAACGAAAATGTAGGTTTATATTGCTATCAATAATGCAAATGAAAGAAGGCAAGCATTTGTCTTTTCTGTTATCTTTTCGTGAACTAGTGATATGAGTTTTGGAGTTTCTATTACTTTTGTTACTAAAATTGTTGAATTTCAGGAAACGAGGCACTGCAGAAATGACGGATATAAGCAGTCGGTAGTGAATGATTTTGTGGTAACAGTGGTCATTTGTAAACCATATAATAAAGCTTTGGAGTATTTAGAAAAGCGAAATGCAACGGTAAATTATTAAAAGTTACTTACAAAGTTCTGAGTTTAACTTTTTCATTTTTAACAGTAATGAACTTACTTCAAAATTTGCTTATTATGTACAAAGGCTAAACCGCACTGATCATAGTTCCTAGAAAAGTGGTCACTTTGTGGTGTTAAGTTTTACTTCGTGTTAAAGATATGTTGAAACATTTTTTCCTTGAACTAAGTAGCAAGACGATGAACGAATAAGCCCGTAGGTGAAAACGAAGCCCTTAATAACTCTTTTATCGAAGCAGGAAATAATTTAATATGAACCAGTTTTTTATAGTTACGTCCATATTGGCGATTTCTATTACGTGGTGAGACATCTTTGCTTGAATTGCATAGTTTATTTCGGTGTACCGCAGATTATGGAACAGCAGTGGATGAAGACAAAGTGCCGCAGCTTCATGATTTCAATATGGTACACGAATTTTTAAATTCTAGCTTTATTCAAAGTTGCATTTTACAAAATTTCAATTTTTCCTATGCAGTTAGTTAAGTGCTCTGACTTGACAAAATGAAATTTTTTAGTTTTCCGACGTTCCATTTCGTGTTTTGCAATATAAGATATATTTTTCAGTTTAAATATCCATCGTCATTCTTGTTTATTCATGATACATTCTATATAGCAGAAACTTACACTGGATCTAAGGAAACACTGTTACAAATCGATACTTCAAAAATTGAACCCCACATAGATATCTCAGAGTAATTTTTTATTAGTTTTGTTTTATACTCTATCGTTTTCTATTTCTCTTAGCAGGTGCTTATAAGACGAACGTGCAGATATTTTTGGAATCTGTTGAATACATTTAAAAAATTTAATTTACTGTCGTGGAAGGATTTTTTTTCTCTTTCATTATTGCTTTTTTTTTTTATTCTCATTACATCTCTAGACCTATACGTGAATGGATGAAAAGAAAACCAAAAGATTTTGGTCCAACACAAGTTAAAAGTCTCAATGAAGGCAAGGTTAGTGGATGAACTGACTTGATCAATTTTGAATTTTTTTCATGCTATAACTTACTTATTGGTGCAAAGAGTTTTATTTGTATTGTCGGAAATATATGACTATATGAAAGTAAAATCTACTAATTGAAGCACCCATATGTTTGAATATATAAAGGAAATTATTTTCGCATGTTTTAATAAAATGTTGCAGTAATACATTGCAGAAAAATTCATCACTTACTTTGAGATAGTCGTAGTTTCCCATTACATTTTTTCTCTTAACTAATGTCACTAATTGTCATTTTAGGTTAAAGACTTGGTATGTCGTCTTGGATATCCGTATGTTTATGTTCATCAGGGTAATTGCGAGCATGTTTTCTTTTTCACCGATTTGCGATTGATGGACATACAAGATTATCCAATCGATTTTCCTCAGAAATTATCCGATACAAGCTTGGAAAATTACTGTATTACATGCCATAAACGGATTGCAGAGTAAATCATTATTTTCTATATCCCAGTTGATGTAGGAATTAATCAGTAATGATCATTTATATAAAGCAAACCGGAGAAGAGAAAAAAAGGGTGGAATGTAGAGTTAAATGATGCACATTTGTCACTGTGTGATTTCCCTTATTGTCTTTTATTATTCATATTTTAATTGTTTGCTGTATTTTCCAATCACTTGACAGTTTATCTACTCTCTTTCAGCTGGATACTTGAAAGTGAAAGTTTCCCGATAAGTCCAGCTCATATGTGTGATGACTGTTACAGAAGCTTCCATTATATTCTTTCTTATCGTCGGAAGATCGATTCTAGAGCGTATGTTTATATGGATCCATCCATCTTACAATACTAATCAATCACTGTCATCTGTTTCATCAATTTAATGGTGATAATAATGTGGTATATTTTGTTTATATTCTCTGTTTGTGTTTGATTTTATGGAAAATTCTTTAAAAAAGGCAAGCTCAGGAAAACTAGAAGGGTTTTGATGAATTGTGATCTCTGTTTGTAAATTTATTGTTAAAAATTTTTATTTCATTTTGTTACATACTTTTTTCAAACACTGTAATAACAGAAAACTTAGTGCTATTTCTAACAAATGGGGCAAATCATTGTTTAGAAACGATTTCTTAATTATATAAAAAGAAATTGAGAATCAAATTAAATATGAAGTGTCAAATTAAATATAACTGAAGTAGATGTAAAAAAAAATGTGGGTATCAGGGGAGGGTTCTGCAGTTGAAAAAGTTCTACCATTAAGAAAAAACAACGTAGGGGTAGAAAAAGAGGAGGGAAAACACTTCAAAAAATTCAGGCTCTTTCTTCCAAAGAAGCTATCCACATTTCACAAGCAAAGCGTTTGGTAGGTAAAACATGAAAGAGGAATAAACTGCTAATAATCATCATAAAAGACATGATTTATATGCCATGTTTTATTTATTGTCACATTCGTCTAGATTTTCCTGCAAATTTTGAAAGCTCTTTCAAAAATTAGATGAAGATGGTACTCGAATAGAAATTGAAAATGAGCAGAAGTTTGGAATTTCAAGTTGAACTCTAGACTCAGTATATGAATATTGTTAGTTTTTAATAGTGGTCATTCTGATCACGATAAGATAGAGCAAGAATGATCCCTTCTCGAGAATTCGGATTAAATAGGATGTTTCTTTTTCTCAACAAGTGATAGAACGGAGAATTAATTTTAATGTAGTCTAAATGAAAAAAATGATGACTATATTTTCTCTTGATTTATTGAAATCATGATTCAGAATACATGTCAAAAAGGACGACCAGAATCATTTAATATTCGTAGCACAAATTACTTGTCACATCGCATCATATAAAAAACCATTTGAAACACTTCCGTTTAACAATTGTAAATTTGCATGTTTTAAAGCGGTTGAAAATGTATAAATCATTTTCTTATGTTATATTCTACGGCAGGGAACAAGCATTGGTGTGTTTGAATTTTTATAGTATATACCAGAGACAATGAGTGAGAATTTGAATTTCAGGAATATGAATTTCTTCCCAATTGCAACTCTTCGCTTTCATCATTATTATCATCAATCGATACTTTCTTCTAACGTGTCAAAAGAATGATCTCATCAAGCCTCTAAAATTAAAAAAATTGTATCTTCGATTAAAAGCAATTTACATTTTATTACATCATTTGTAGTTTTACATAGCGATGATGTATATTGTCATGGCAATCTTGGCAGTTGAACTGATACGTTGCATTTTAAAACTTATGTACGAGAAGAAAAAATATCAAATATCAAAGAAAGAAATACCGATACTTCTCGCCAATAAAGATTCCCTCGGAAAGGTATCCTTAATATTAATCAGCATAAAAAACATATGTTAATCATAATTTCGCTCAAAATTCTTAAATTCCTAAACGCAAAGTAAAGGGTTAAAGAATGATTCCATTTAATCTGATTTGTTGATGGAAAAAGCTGAGAAGTATCTTACTAAGCCTATTTCTGAAAGTTCAAATTATAAAATCTTTTATGCTGGAGCAAAATAGTATGAATTATCTCTAAACATATAGATTATTGTATTGTATAAATTTTATTCATCCATTTTAGAATACTGTCTATAAAGAAACAACTTCAACTTCATTAACGAAATTAACAAAGAATAATGATAATTTTACCGCTAAACAATTTAATCAAAAACCAAGCGGTATTTTGTCGAATGATGCACAAGACAGAGCATTAACATCATTTGGTAATCAATTCTTCATTATTTCTTGAAAATATAATATCACTTCCAATTTATCTCTTACTAGTTAGAAATATTAAATTTTATGATAAGTTATGTTTACAATCTTCCAATCAAAAAATATATCTAAATATATCTATTCCAATATATTTTGAATTATCAATTATTGTTTTATCTAACATTATTATTTCACCTGCCCTTTTTCTCTTCACAAAAATATTTTTTTGGAATAGTTCAAATTGTTTCATAACATTCTTAGATAAGTGATTTCTCGAAATTTTATTCCAACTTTTCCATCTCTACTATTTGAGAAACAATTTTAATATGTAATGATAAATAAATACGGTAGGATATCATTAATTGTAGACAGAATAGATAGACCAGAAAATATATTGGACGGGAATATTTCTCGGAAGCCGAAGTTGGATAATAACCAAAAAGAAGCCATAAAAAATTGATCATAAATAGATCATTTGATACATTTAAAAGTAGAGAAACAAACTGTAGACAGGTTGTAGACAGAATAGATAGACCAGAAAAATGTATTGGACATATTGGATATTCCTCTATTTTTGAATGTATCAAATAATCTATTTATGATCAATTTTTTATGGTTAAAGAAAATCTGAAACTTAAAATATCTATGCCATTAGAACGGAGTGAAGTAGAAAATATTACAGATGAGAGACTTAAAATATAAAATACGAAGGTAAGAGCAGGAGCAAAAATATTGAATACTACAAAAAATTTTAATATTTATCAGAGCAAAATATTTTTTTTTTTAATGCAAAAGAAATAGCCCGAAGATTAATTGTTAAACTATAAGAAAGAATGATAAGAAGCGGAAAGAGAGAGAGAGAAGAAATAGTGCAAGAATATATGTGATAATATATAAATGATAATAAACGATGATAAACTTGATGATAAACGCAAGACATACATATATACAGTTGATTAAATGTTAAACTATAAAAAAAAAATGATAAGAAGGAGAGGGAAGAAATAGTGCAAGAATTATATGTGATAATATATAATTGATAATAAAGGGTGATAAACTTGATGATAAACGCAAGACATACATATGTATATATAGTTGATAATAAAAGCCAAATTGTAATAGAAATATTTTTCAGGAAAAATTTGACAGAACAACGTCCAATTTCCACTACCAAACACAGTGAGTTTTAATCAAATGAAGTGTAGGATGATTCAGAAATCCAAAATAATCTTAATATAAAAATATTTATATTATCAAAGTAATCTCTGTATTACTGAAATTTATGGTATAGAAATCTTTTGTCTCATATCAGTTAAATGAAAGCGATATATTTTACATATTTTCTCGATTAACGATTCTAAGCAATACCATATGTGTGGGTTCTTTGTTTATCATCAGCTTCACACATCAAATGACCTTTTTACACCTTTTTTCCATTACCATTAATTTTATCTATAAAACCACCAACTATTCATTATACTACAAACAGTGCTCATGGAACATCGTCCAACTCGAAGAGAGTATGTTGCAATGGTACTGCTCTCTACAAGTAAGCCGATTGAACACCTGAACCAATACCCTAATGAACAGTTAGTTCCAAATTATTTTCCCGATCAACAGTAAAAAAGAATAACTAAGTGATTACTCCTACTCTTGACAATTCTTGGCACAATCCGACTGTAACACTCCCAACATTTCCATCAAACATACTGAAAATTTTCCTTCTCATATCTTTTTCTTTTTAAATTGACAGATTAACTTAGAAAGAAACAATAGAAACTTCAGGAATTGCAGTTATCTATGATGTGAAGCGCAAAACTCTAAAACTGTAAAGCAAGTAAACTGAATGAAAATGAGCCTGCCAACCAACTGCTGAAATTATCAAAATCAAGTTTTATTTTGAAGGATTACATTGTGTAACATCTTAGACTTCGCGTTAACTATTTTGAGATTATCTTTACTATCTCTCAAATTCAGGAATATATATATATATTACCAATTCAAGCGAAAATTTGGAGATAATGCATCAAGGTTGCAGATTGAGTTTCATTGAATACCACCGTTTAATAAAAACATACAATCACACTAACAATATATAAACAAATCACTGTAACTTGTCAATTGATGACAAATGGAACTTAATTCAATTTATTGTTAATTTACCTTAGATTGAAAACAGAAGAAAACCTCACGAATACAGAAATTAGTAAAGGCGAGAATAAGCAAACGGAACATTTCTGTCAACATTGCTTTCTTGCAACTCGATAAATAAGATCAACAATTTGAGTCTATTGTCTAACAAAATAAAACGCGAAAATGGCATTTTTAGCATTTTTATAACTCTCAAACAATTGATTGTAGCAGTGAATATCTTTTATGGTAGCTCTCTTAATTCAACACTATAAATGCTCAGTAAAAATCTCTACTGAAAATATCTTATAAAGGGGAAATAATTAGGGGAGGATGTTTTTTTCGTAAAAAATGTAATACTAAACACTTAATCTAAATCTGATTTCATTCCCTATAGAAATAAACAGAAATAATAAATAAAGACAAACCAATACTACTGCATCATCAAGAAAAGGGAAATTAAAAAAAAAAATTTACTTATAAATCAAAGAAAATGAAAACAACACAATTAGTCAAATAGTTTAATAAAAATTCATGTTTGGTAACAATTTATTATACAAAATATAGCACATATTTCTCCATCTCGGAGGTTAACTCAAAGAGAAACAAAAAAAAGAAATGAATGTGTCAGCGCTATCTTCTTTCTGTGCCACCAAAACCTGAAAAACGGAAGTCTAAACATTACTAGAAAAAGAAAAACCAAGGAAAGAAAGCACTGAATTTTACTTAAAGTAATAAAAGTTGTATAACAACATTGAAAGTTTAATATTAATATTCATGTAATCAAATCATATCTCCTCCATTTACTGTTCCTCACAGAAAAAACTTCGATGTATCAGAATACCTATTATAATTTTTGCAAAATAAAATGCTCGAAATGTTTTTTTCAGCAAATGCTAGCAAACATAGAAATGTGTAATATCTCAGAACAAAAAAAAAACTTGGTTAAGCATTTAATGAATCAAGGAATCCACCTGATGTCGTTCGACTTGTTGAAGGTCTTGGAGAATCTTCCCTATATCTCCTATGCGAAGAACTCCAGGAACTATCTTGTTCATATGGTCGAAAGAAACTGCTTTCACTAAAATTAAATAATAGTGATCAACACAATTAGAAAAAGATGTTCAGTGAAGTTGGTTATGAACTTCGAATTATTAATCACGTCTCAATTTTTTCTGATAGAACGAACGAACCTATTCTGATTCCTGCCATACAAGTAACCAGCTAAGCCGCCTAATCCAAGACCAGAGAAGAAACCGGGACCACTGGACTGAGATTGTGCACCAGATGTATTATGAAAAGATTCTTCATATGTAGGAGGCGCATCGGTTGGACGTGTAAAGCTTTTAAAACCGGGCGGCGATGGTCTTCCGTTGTTTGGTGGAGGTGGTGGTCCTTGATTCCAACCCCAACCTGAAAAAAGATTACGACGATTAGTTTACTTATCACATTCAAATACACATCTCGCCAGAAATAACGGCACTATTTAATGAAGAATGGTACTGTACAAAACTTATGAAATATTTGAGTTGCAAAGCAAATCTGAAAATCATAACATTGTATACGGGAGACTAATGAGCAATGAATCGATGGCTAACTATATGACTTCCCCCTGGACAACGCTATTTATCTTATGTCATTAAGAATTCAGAATGCGACTTTATGTGAACACTTTACTCATGAAATCTAATGATAAATGACAGCAGTCATATATTGAAAAACAATGTGAAAAGTTATTCCAAAAAATTTTAAAATTGAATACCACTGCGACGTGTCCTTCCATCATCAGTAGTAGGTTGCAAACAAGTGTAGTAGAATATGAAGAAGAATAAAAGCAAAGTGACTATGGTCGGAAATGTTAAGAAGCCAAATCTGAAATGACTGATGGAGAACTTGAATCAAGAATTCCAAAATTGTAAATACCTGTATCTTAATTGTGATGAAATTAAAAATTAGTAAAAATGTTACAAAAAACTTAGAAAAAAATCTAAGCTTAAAATACTTCTGCAAATACTCACTTTTGATCCTTCTCATGCGGTGGCGCACTTGGTACTTTTTTACCCTTATCATAATTCTTCTCTTTTTCTTGACTATATTCCAGACTGTATTTCAACTAAAATACTATTCAAGCATTCAAATAGAAAATTAATTAATTTGTTGAAAATGAATTTTCAGCTTTATGCAAACTTACAATTCATGGAAAGTTGCACATTAATCCAAAATAGCTCATTGCATATTATCATAGCTTGCATTATAATGGTACTCTTTCGTATGTCAACAAATACTACACTGCCTTCCACTATCCATAACATCAGTTTAACCTATGCTGACATATTTCATATTTAAAGTTAGTGTTAATCATCAACGCCCAAAAGGCAAGTCAGTGAATAATAATAACAATTTATCGCAGTTCGAAAAAAGTAAATTCTAAGCTTACGCCACAAGAACCTCGCAAAATGTAAGGATCATCCGCGTAATCATACCCTTCACAAGATATACGAATCTAAAAAGAAGTTTTGGTTAAAATTTGATCACGTTCTCAGATCTATGATATTACCTCCGAGCAAGATCATCAGAAATGCGCATTAATTCTTAAAAATATAAGAAACTTTACCGAAAAATTGATGGTGACTTATAACTAACATTTTGGATAATCAATACGTTAATCGTAAAAAATTTACTTCGCCAAATTCATACTGATCGCTCATTTCCGCTTTACACTCCCACTGGACATCGACGCCATCATGACCCTTGTTGTAGCACTGCACAACCTGAAAATATAAACAAAACATTCACGAAATTAGCTCAGTCATGACAAAATTACCATATCATTTACATACTCTGGGCTCGAACTTTCCTTTCGCTGATCCCCCAACACACTGGATTTGTGGGATTGGAGCAGACCTTCTTCCTGTAGTATACTTATCTCGATGTAATGTTAACGTACTGACATCGACCAAACGAACTTTTCCTGAACTCTCTGAAAATAAAAAAAATCGATGTATTTACACAGAAAGCAAAATTACTTATCTGTATATTTTTTCGGACCATTATTACTATTTGTCTTCTGTTTTCATAAAATGAAAATAAAGAAATCCATGAAAAATTATCTTACATAAATCACCACAGAAAAACAGTAATTATTTCATAGCTTTCAAACAATTTCGATAACTTACCACAAAAATTAAAAATGCCAATTAAAAATATGACAGGTAATCTGCACCACAACATTCTCAATCTAGAATCTGAAAACAGAAAACTGACAAAACATTTTATTGGTCATATTTTATTGCTTGTAAAATAGGATATCGATACTGATCTGATCTTCTTAAGTCAAAGCTGTCAGTAATTCCCATCGATTTGTAAGTAATTTCCAATAAAAACTTCCAGAAAGGAAAATTTGATAATTAAAATAATTTAACTTCTGTGTAATTAACAGTGGTTGGTTAACTTTTCAAAATTGTCAGTTTATTTTGACTTTCAAAGTAAAATTTAAGTTCATTTTCAAAGTGAAGTTTGAGCCAAATATAATAATATATGAAACGGTGAATCAATAATAAACCGTCACAGAAGACATTACTTCGCTTCAGTCTTAGCTGGGAAACAGACACGTTAAATAACGCAATTTTCGAACAGATGACATCATCATGCAACCAGTTGGATGACTTATTATGCAATCGAATTATCTCATATAGAAAGAGAATCATTTTTTTATATTGTACGAAGTATATATTTCGATCCTACGTATGTGTAGCCTAGAACAAGCCCTAGTAAAGAATTGCCAAAAATGCCTAGCAAAATAGTTTACTCTGTTTTTCCATTACCAATAGATTGATTGTATATGAAAAATTAGAAGGACCCAAAAATTGCAACAGTACTAATTTAATCACCCTTAATACAGAATGATCAATTTGCAAGTAATTTGAAATGAAAGTTTATTGAAAAGAAAATTTGACAATTAAAATAACTTTGCTTCTTTATATACAACAGCGGTTGTTTAATTCTTATCAAAATAGGTTGTTTAATTACTTTACTTAGATAATATATATCATCAATAACTTAATCAAACTAAATTTGTGCTTGTTGAAGACAAAATGATGCCACTCATTTTATGAGAATATTTGAAAAGTTGTATTTGTTTTAGTCTGATTAATATTGGGATAACAACAACATTCTTTTATTTTGAGCATACCATACAAATAACAATTTTCAGTAATTTTTATTAATACTGGTACTAATGTATGGTACTAATTGCGTATCGCTGTTATCATTGTTGCCTTTCAAAATTCGTATGCGATCTCTGAAATTTACAAAATATAGCAATTATAAAGGGTTTTTATAATGGGAAATTGATAAGGTATAAATGGATGAATGTTAAAACAATTTTAGTTTATTCAAATTTCATTTTTGTAAAGAGCGTTGAAAATATTTCGTATTTTTCAACTGGATCGTGTTGATCCTTTAAAAATTACTTAATAGGCATTTACTACGCCTATGCTTATAGAAAATCCCATTACAGTACAGAAATGATAATCTGTTTCATATCGGGAATTAACAATATTTTAAAATTTCGATATTTTAAATTTCACTAAATGTGAAAATAGAAAGTAGTGAAGTGAAGAGATTATTAGGAAAGAAAAAGATTTTTTTTTTTAACGAATTTTAAAAATTCAAAAATTCCCACTTTGTATGCAAATAATGGCTCGGATATATAAAGACGACTATCATAAACATTCGAACTAAATCCTGGCCGGAAATTACCACGGCCAGAAACAAGTGAGCCTCCAGATGGTCCAAGATTTGCCAATTTTGGTGATCGAAAGAAATAATCATTAGTTGCATTCGCTGTCTACAACAAAAAAAAGAAAAATTCATCATCGATTAGAATTGAAATAAATTTTGCAATTCATTAATTATTCATTTCTTTCATTCGTTGAATAACTATTTCTTCATTATTATTCCATTCGATCGCAACATTTTTTCTTTCCTTTGATTTATGTATCATTAATTTGAATTATTTTAACAATATTTTCTGAGTGTACTAGATGAAGTGAAAGAGTTTATTTTATGATCAAAGAGCTCCTAGCAATTATGTTTATCCTAAAATTGCATGTTGCAAGTAATCATTTTATCATTTTTAATGAAGGTGATTATCATCCTTTTATAGCTAATACCTAACTAAATTAATTTATAGGAATATTATATTAAATAGATTGGTGTGTGTCCTGAAAAAGCACATGAATCATTAGCTATTTTCAAACATATAATTAAATCATTGATTGATAAGTTGTAATCTAAAACTTAATTGATTATAAGCTACTTAAAACTTATTAAATCAACTTATTGAATTGATTTCCATTATTCTTGCAAACTCTTGTGCTGATGAATTTGCTTAGTTAAATTTTCTAAAACGAAGAAAATTTTATGGTGTAGGAAAAATATACAAACCTGACAATGCATATTTAAAACAGTAGTAGCAAAGAGGAAAGAAAGTGATAGTACCACTGGAATAGTACCATAAAACATTATTGCACACTTTGTTTGTAGCTGTCAAGATCAGTGTTAAAGAGGAAATTACTGACGAATGCTTTTCAGGCTTCTGCTAAAGAATATCACAGGAAATTGATGTGAGAAATTAAATCGCTCAATAACAGACTACTAAGTTTGTTATCGTAAAATTTTAATTATAAAAACACTTGTCAATGAGATAGTGTAGCGTTATTCAAATTACGCTTGGAAATAAATTTAGCCAAGAGTGATAGATAAAGCTGATTGACCCCATTTTCTCATTTCCCCTCTAAACTTATAACTTATGCGCATTTCTGTGGCTCATTTATCAATAGTTGTGTGTAAATGACGTAATTGCAGAAAATAGCATCATGGGAAAGGATACATTCCGCATAATATTATGAGTAATAAATTTAAAATGCATGAGAGGAAAAAAATTGATAGTTACATTCTTCTGAACAATGATACAAGAAGATGAAGTCATTCTCATTTTTGCAAATTTCATTTCTTGCAAATCTCAAATATCATGCATTTCAATATACACATATATATTTTGCTACTACGGTACTGACCAGTTCTGAATTTTATTGTTTTCCAAAATTTGCTAATTAACATTATTCGATCATAAAGCCGAACTCATTTTCTATATTATATATGCGATTAACATCAAAAAGTACCGGATCATGATCACTCTGAAAGAAATTTCTTATTTAAACCAGAGCTCAAAATTATGATCTTCTTTTGATTGTATAATATACGCGAGTATTTCTTAGATCGATTTAAAATTCTGCAATATATCTTTCAATATGATATCACTTAAAATACCAATTAATAGTTTACTACCGTACCAATATATTGCTATTACGGTTTCAGATTATTACGAGTATTTCTTAGATCAATTTAAAATTCTGTAAAATATCTTTCAATATGAATATCTCTTAAAATACTACCGAATAGTTTACTATCGTACCAATCTATTGCCATGACAGTTTCAGATCATTATTAAAGAGTTAAGAAAAATCATTGATAACAGTTGAAAATTTAACATGATTCATAATCATTTTCGTTTGATATAATAATTATTGTTATTGTTATATATCACATGCATAACATTGCAAATCTTAATGCGCCATATGTTGCGCTCAAAGTATCATTGTCACTTTATTGACACGATATGTTAGCGCCATCTTATGCGCTCAAGGTATCATTGTCACTTTATTGACACGATATGTTAGCACCATATTATGCGCTCAAGGTATCACTGCCATTTTATTGACACCATATATTAACGCCATCTTATGCGCTCAAAGTATCATTGTCACTTTATTGACACGATATGTTAGCACCATATTATGCGCTCAAGGTATCATTGCCATTTTATTGACACCATATATTAACGCCATCTTATGCGCTCAAAGTATCATTGCCATTTTATTGACACCATATATTAACGCCATCTTATGCGCTCAAAGTATCATTGCCATTTTATTGAATTAACAGAAAGTCATTCATTTTAATCTTCAAGGAATTGAAATAAAAAAAACGAGAGAGATGACAGTCTAATATATGCACATGCATATATTTATTGCCTTATATTGCATTTTTGTCAATTAAAAATTCCAACATGAACATAACATCCCACTAGCAGTCTTATTAAATTAAAATGAATTTACATTTTGCTCATGAAAAATTGAATATAAATTAACTAGCATTATTTTTAAATTAAAAAAAAATAGCATAGTAATAACAATTTGGAAATTTCCTTTCCCTTCAAAAAAAAATCTCATTAAAATATTTTATTAAATTAACTCTATCAAATAAATTATCGATTTAATTTTTAATTCCAAAAATTCTTAATGAACAAATTCCAGTATTTTATTTCATATTTGAAAGTTCAAATTTAAATAGAATAAATATGTATGTAACAAAAAGATATCATTTAGTAAAGATCTTGAGAATACATCTTCAAAATTTCAAATGCTAATAGATAAATAAAAATTACAAAGAAAAGTAAACAAGTAGCTAATTCATATATAAATTGAAAACTTAACAATTTGAATTCAAATTTTTACATAGCGTTCGACTTACTGGTTAATAGATGTGCCTTTTTAAAATTAATAGCAAGAAACTGAAAACTAATAAGGATATTGATAAGGATATTTCCCACGAATATTGATAAAAAATATCCTAATCAATATTCGTGTGAAATGTAAGCCTGGCAAGGATGTTTTCCATGAATATTCATTCTATCAATTATCATATAACTAAGATATTTCCCACGAATATTTTTATTGATTATCATATAACAATACGCTTATTTTATTTTCGTTAAGGATTAGAATGAAAATAAAATTTTTCTTGAAAATCAAAAATTATCACTTAATCATTTTTCATTATCATCCACCATTCACTCAATTACCGTAAACCTATACATATTGAAACAATGTATTGCGTCGTTGAATTGCATGCAACAATTCGGAGGAGAGGAGGGGGCGATAAATGGCTTAAGTTGTGTATGAGTTGTAGCATTTTTGGGAAGATAGTAATGGAGTAAGTATTTTGTTTAGGTAATAAGTTATTGTTTCGTTTAATACCAATGATTACATTATTTAACCTGTTTTCCGCAATCTCTGTCATATTCCATGAATGTCATTGGTTTTATCATTTCTTTGTTATCATCTTGATGATATTTCCATCTAAAAAGTTGAAGTGTTATACGGGAATCAATAACTTATTATCTAAACACTGAGAATTCCATATAACTCTTAAAAGCAGTTGAATTTGATAGTATTGATTGGAAAATCTGGTGCATTTCTTTACTCTCGAATAGCAGGTTTTCTGAAGAGATATTAGTTAAATATGAAATACTTAAGTTCCTCTCAATATTGCGAGTCACATGGATTCCCCAATTGGGAAAGTTGCGGATGCAGCATTATGATAGCTGCTTTAAATATCATAATGCTGTTTCAATGTACATAGTGGAGTGCTATTTTTGAGAAAACTCTGGAAATACAAAAATTTTTTGAGCATAATTTAAAATTTAAGGCTGATAAAAACGAACTGTATAGAGTCAGTAGCACGGAATAAGATTGAATGCCAGCTGGTGAAGTGAGTTTTGTGAACAAATTTCTTTAGGAGAGATCAAAATTTTGTTAGATGAAACTGAGAATCTATGCACAAAAATTCATTCTTTTTATCAGTTGGGATTCTACCAGTGCGACTTTTATATGTTAGTAACTTGGTAGGTCGCGATATTATTATTTAAACGAATATGTTCTGATTTCATATAACGAAATTCATTGTAACTTCTGATTCATAGATACGAATTGGGAAATTTTTGCAAATTAATTAAACTTATCTCTGATTTTTCAAGAAAATGAGTGATGTGGAAAATGATAGCAATGGAGAAATGGAAGAACGAGAAGATGAAGTGTATGACGATGAAGCTAATGAACAAGCTATTCTAAAGTTAAAGAAAATCGTAAGTTTTTCCTTTAGTTTTTAATAGTGGTGTTCGAGCTTTTCGGTTAAGATATTCATACTCTATAAGCCATGACATCAAATACATTGAAGATTGAAAGTTCACCGAAGGATTATGGCAGCCGTATGACACTGATTGAAATCTTGCGTCGAAGTGGTGAGCTTGAAGCAGTTCGAGAACAACGGGAATGCATGTCAGCATTATACACGATGCCTCCCAGTTTCTGGTTGAACTGGATAGAGTTAGTTCTACTTTGGAAAAGTGATCAAGAATTCTTTGCGTTGCTCCATATTTCCTTGAAAAGGAGTCAGCTCCAAAGTGTTGGAATTATGGCCTAATTATAGAATTAAAGACAAATGTGGAGTCTGTTTACATGACATCACTGAAGTTCGAGCTCTTCGACACAATATTCATGCCTTCTTTCCGTTCTTTGACATAATTGGTGTTGAAACTTCAAACGAATTAAAGAATATGAATCTTTAGCTATATATTTCCATGATTCCTGTTAATATCAATCCTGTTTATATTGTTTATAGAGATGAAAAATCGGCAGGAAGTGGTAAGGATTTGATTAAACGACTTTTCGAACGTGCAGTTAGGGATTTTCATAGTCCTGAAGTTTATCTGGAATATGTTCAGTGGGCCTGCGGTATATCTCTCGATTTTGCAAGAGAGGTAAGTGTCTAATACTTTCTCACTAAACTTTTAGATTTTGATATATGAAAATAAAATAAGAGATATCGGAAGATGGCAGATTTTTTCTCCTGGATTTTAGGCAATCAGCGCACCATAGTTATGAACAATTATATCGCATACATGAATGTCCTGGAAAAGATCGCGTATTACCGCCAAATTGTTCTGTCCAAAGGGCTAGTGAAGTAGCGTCACATGTCTAAGCGGCAAAGAAGGGACTTAGTTATGTAGAAAAAGTTGTTAAAAATAAAAGTCAATTTCAGTTATGCCTTCTTTATAATTTTCGATAATAAGGCCAGGGATTTTGTAGCAATGTTGACATAAAAACATTTTAGAAAATGGAAGAAGCGGTGATAAAAATAGGTTTACGAGCTGATTGTGCTTCTTTGATTTGGAATATTTATTTGGATTTCGAAAAAATGATTTTGAATTCGATGAATAATCAAGACGATGACAAACAGAGGAAGCATGTGGAATCACTTTATGGACGATTGCTTAGTGTGCCTCATCTAGGTCTACAAGAATCGTGGAATGAATATAAGGCATTTGCGGGTAACTTTAATTTAGATGTAATTTGTGCTTAGTTTCCTTCTTTTATTTAGTCGAGTATTATTAGTAGAAACTAAAGTTGTTATATATTTCAACAATTTTATCGGATCCTTTTCCTCTAGAAATTATCAGCTCGACAATTTGAGTTATACGTCCCATTTTATACTTTACTGAGTTATGAAGTATATTTTAAAGCAGTAAGTCTTTTTTTATCCAACGATCAGGATAGCATAAGAGAAGATTGCACTAAACTGTATCAAAAATGTTACTGTTGCTGAACATAGTTGATGCAATTTCAGAGGGTAAAGAGTCGGATCAGTTTCATGAAGCATTTGAGACTGCAGCGAAGCGTGTGGCGGATATCAGTGAATTTGAAGAACGTCTGGAAGATACCACAGACGAGAATGAAAAATTGTCTGTTCTAACGGAATATATAGCCTTCGAAATGCAAAGTAATTTCTCAACTTGTTTTGTCGATGAGTTCCACTTTATTTTCTCGTATCATATTCAAAACATACTTTGTAAAGGTTATCTGAAATATGTGATTATAAATAAAGCACACATTACAGCGAACGATCCAGCAAGAATTCAAATGATTTTTGAAAGGACACTTTGTACAGCTGCTAATTCTCCAATTTCTGATCTCTGGTTACAGTATGGTAATTGGCTGGATACTTCATTGAAATTGCCACAGGTTAGAGACAATTTCTGTTATAGTTACTCAATTATTACTTTTCTGTTCTGGCATCTGGTGATATTACTCTTATTATTTAAGTATATCCATATACTGAATACGAACGTAAGAAATATGTTATTCAATCTTCTTACAAAATACAAGTGCATAAATTTAAGGTTTCTGTAGACGTATATGCACGTTCTGTACGTCATACACCATGCTCAGCACTATGGCAGCAATATTTTTCCGCACTCGAGCGATCGAATGCCTCTCCTGAAGAAATTGATGCCAAATGGCCAGATGCTCGAGATACAATAACTACACAAGACGAAGGATTCTCTCTGTATCGTACCTATATATATCTGCTTCGACGACGGGTTGTCAAGCAAGGTATGATTTTAGGTTACCATTCATTTATAGATATTATGTAGAAAATATGAATGCAGGACTTTCATTATCTATTAGAAGATTTTCTGTTACAAAAAAACCATTCAATCACAATTTTATTGCTGACATTACACAGTAATGTGTCTTCTGAACTTTAGGCTCTTCTGTTTAATTTCGATTAGGATTTCGATTTAGCAGCAGTACCAAAATTTTCAAACTCTAAGTATTCTTCTCTCATCGTTTTTCATAATCCTATGTGAAATCATCTGTTGTAGGTAGCGATGATTATACAGCTGTGTTAGAGAAATTTGATGAAGGTGCAGCTTTTTTGGCCGAGAAATTTGGATCTAATTGGGACAATCCAAAAGCCCATTATCGTAGAAATCATGCCTTCTTTTTATATACGTCGGTAAAACAGCCTGAGAAAGGTATTTAAGTAATTTCTTGTCAATTTTTAATTTTTTGTTGCATTATTACACATGTTTCATCATGCAACAATTTTGCTATAGAACAATAGAAGTTGATCAGTAGATGTTTAACTAGCATCATTTTGAGTCTCTTTATTATGAGCCATACATGTCAGAATTATCTTAAGTATTGCGATCATTGCTGTGATCGTAGTTCTTTTTAGCTCGAAAAATCTGGAATGATATTTTGGCATCTGGAAATGGTCACTTTGCAGCGGCCTGGATAGAAGCTGCTAATTTGGAACGTTTTTTTGGTGATATTAACATATCTCGCAAATTGCTTTACAAAGCTATCAATTCAGCAAGCGATCATCCATATACGGTAAGTGCAATCACCTGACTTCATTGTTACTTTTCTGGTTTAAAATAGGGTGGAATTCAAAGTATAATTCGAAACTTTCTACATTTTAGGTAAGAAATTGCAGCTCATTTGTTACAAAAAAAAATTTTTCAGGTTTTTGATGCTCTTATTCAGTTTGAGAGGGAAGTTGGTACTATCGAAGAACTAGACAAAGCGCTGGAAAAGGTGAATGCGCAAGCAGTTAGGATTTCATTGAGGCCGCAAAAGAACAAAATGGAAAAAAGTAAAAAGAGGAAGAAGGAAAATGATGAAGATGTTGAAGTCAAAAAAAGAAAAGAAGATAGAGCAGAGGAAAAAGGAAAGAAACTCATAATGAACAGGACTGATTTTGTAAACGGCACAGCAGATGTTGCTGCAAAAAATCAACACGAGAGCGAGGTATTTTACAGAAAAAATTTTGAAGATAATCTAAGAGCCTCATAGTTGCTTTGATGAGGAGTGGTGCAGTGTCCCGTTTCACTTTTATTATATCATCAGGCATATTATATTAGGAATCGTTTAGGAATCGTTTTTGGGCTGGGGAAGAAGGGAGGAGTTAAAATCCAAAAAATGAAATTCGTAACTCAAGTGTAGAAAGTTAACGTGCACAAAAAAGTTTTTAATAGTTTCTTTAGTTCAAATATTTTATTGCGACTATATTTAGAATTTTGAATCGTTTGGATATCAAAGATTAGTCTAAGCTTGTAGATGATTATCACCATTTACTGAATGTTAATAGCTTTGAAAGCGCTGACAATTCAAGTCAGAAAATCATTTTCATATTTATCTGATTTCGATTGATTTATATTAGATAGTTTTTAGATGACAAATGTCGATAAAAAACAAGTCGATGATGATGGTTTCATAGTTCCTCAACTTCCTTCACAATTATCGAAGTCAAAAACAGCATCAAGTCAAGATGTCGGTTTAGAAGGAACAAGCAAAGAAGCTTCTTCCGAAAAGTATCACACCATATTTGTCTCTAATCTCGATTTCAAGTTGCCAACGGAAAGACTGGAGCAAATATTCCCGAATGCGAAAGAAGTTCGATTAGTCTACCGAGGGATGAGCAAGTTGCACAAAGTAAACTCTGTACCGTTTACTTTATAGGCTCTGTATTGTTTCCCTGTTGTTATAGTCTCACCAATATGAAAAATATATTTGGTTGACAAGTAAATCCTGTTCTATTAGTCTTTGTTCAACGGAATGAGGACATGAATCATTTTAGAATTATCCCAAGTATTAAGTTCGATTTGATAAATCATACGTTGTAGTGTGTAGTATGATCTAGATCTTATTTAGTTATGTTCTAAAAATTATCCGCGCTTAGGAGATGAATAAAACGAACTCAGCAGCGGATCTTTAATCAAAAAAGTAAAATTGCTAATATTTCAGGGATTTGGCTATGTAGACTTCGCAACTGAACTGGAAGTTCAAGAAGCTTTGAAAATGGATCGGACGAAACTTGACGGCAGACCAATGTATGTTTCAGAATATAAACCTCGTGATAAAGGAAAGAATGTGGAATTTCGTTACAATACCGGTCTAGAAAGAAATAAAGTTTTTGTTAACAATGTCCATTATGATGCCACCGAGGAACAGCTTAAGGTTTGGTCTCGCTTATGTTATGGGTTATTCTGTTATTAAATTCGTATATTTATTATTTGAGATTCTATTTATAACGGTTTGTTAAGGAAAATATTTTCTTATGGAGCTATATGAAATATGTGATAAATTCCCAAGTTGGAAAATAAGGATTCTGGCATATTTGCTTTTAAAATATGAATAAGACAAAAAGAGTTAATTTGCTTTTTTTTAAGGAAATATTTAAAACATTTGGTCCAGTTCGAGATATTCGTATTGTGACACATAAATCTGGTAAATCGAAAGGTTGCGCGTATATAGAATTTGAAAACGATGACGACGCCGCAATGGCAGTGAAAGCTAGCGAGGAACTTATTCTTTTAGGTTTGTTTAATAATAAATATTCATGTTTTTATATCTGTTTATATATATATATATATATATATATGGCCTTCAGGATGACCACATTAACAGACTGAAAATATTCCTTTCAAGATCGGTAATTAGTAAAAATTATAAGAGTCCGTGACTAATCCAGGGAAGAACCAAGCAACAGCTCATTTGTAACAAACTTGCTGTTCTGCTTCGTAGGACCCATAGGAAGCATTGTAAATACAGTGCACTCTATATTTTCATAAAGCATGACATTTATGGTCCTAATTTTCCATGACGTTTATTAGACCTTCTGTTTAAGTGTTCTAAGTAAATAAAAATTTCCACTGTTCGATGGAAAGATTATTTCAAGTTGAGGACCAAGATTTGCTAAGTGAAGCCTCGTTCTTCCAGTCCGAACGAGTGATTTGCTTCTATTTTATGTACAATCTGATATAAGGATATTATTTCTCTATAACAGCGTCTCACTAGATCGTCCAACTGTTCTAATTTTGAAAAAAGTTTCAAACTCATTGTTTTATTTTGCGGTATACATGATGGAACAGTTAGGCCTATAAAATGCATCGCTACATAATGACTAAAATGAAACAGCCCATGAAATACAGTCTTTCAAACGGAATTTTCAGCTTTTTGTTTGTTCCTTTGTTTTCTTTCTCATTTAGAAACAAACCGCTACATAACTGGCTCTTAGATTCTTAATATCTTTTCTTCCAAAAGGACAGTTTTATCAGACCGACGTCTACAAAGTGTAAGCACTTACAGAACGAAAATTGTCAGTTGCGATCAGCAACCCACCAAAGCGAAAGGAGCAGCCGCAGCGGTCATCGTTTAATACAACCAATTCTGTAAGTTACCGTTTTTAAAAAGTGAAATATGTCTCTGGAGTCAACTGAAGAACTTATTTTGACAATAATCTTAATGTAAATCTGCAAAGAGTTTTAAGCTAAATTTTAGTGATCCCCGTTTCTTTTAACGAGGGATTAGGCTAATCAAATGTTATCCTTAGCTGAACTAGACTACTCGTAAATTCTTCTTCAATTATAAAATTGCCTCCGCAACTTCTGATTTAACTGCTTCCCATGTAACGGTCAGCAAGATTTTGCTGAGCATAAAAGATTGTTATAGTGAGCATTTGTAAGTTATTGAAATCAGTTGATCTTTATTCACAGATAATTTTTCAAATTTGGGAAAAATTTTCTTACTGATTTTACATAGCGTTGATTTGAAGTTCTTAATATTGGTTAGTTATAGTCGCATCAACGAAACAAAATAGATTTGATACCGCGGACATTGGCGAAAACCGCAAAACTTGCAAAATCAACTGACAACAATACTAGCAGTGGCAATGACTCAGGTGTATCAGTTAAAAGCATGTCTAATGAACAGTTCCGATCTTTTTTCAAATGATGTAACTTTCTTCACTTCATTACTTTGTTGATACTGCATAGTGACTTTGGTAAACCACAAGAACGGGAGTATTTAGATCTTGAATTTTAAGTTTTACTTCGCAAAATTCGAGTTTCATAATAATTGGAACTTGAGTAGACAAAAATTTCAATATTCATGTGGTAAACAGTGGTAAACAAGTGCTAAACAGGTAATCATATTTTTTTCTTAAGTGGAAGAAGAAATTCAGAAATTTTCAAGTTCAAGTGTAGGAACAAAACTGGTTTTTTTAGACTGATAAAAGATCATAATACTTTTTCCTTTGATCGTGATATTTTGGAACTTTAAACGTTCCCAGGTAGTGATTTTAATTAGTAACAAAACAGTGCGATTTACTTAGCAACTAAGCAGTGAAAATTGATGAACTAATTAATTTGATGTAGTTTCTTTTTTGTATTTTGGTTTCTTGTAACAGATTTGTTGTTTATTAAATATAGTTCAATAAATTTACTAACATATTCATTGTCGCCCCAATCAGCTTTTTAACTCGTGGATGCACTTCAGTTAGTTGGCCAGTCTTAAATTCTGCAATTTTTCCGAGTTTCAGGATTATAACACGTGCAACATATCCTCGTAATATAAACCATAAAGTTTCTTACATTAGTAGCATGATAAAAGGAAAGCGGCGTGGAATGTGGTCCTTGCATTCGCTACAATTGGTTTACAGCGGGCCACAAACTAACTCGAATACGAAGAAATTAGTTTGGCTTTCACCCGTGTTTAGGCTGCATTTAGTGCTTTGTTGTAATGAAGTTTGAATTTAATTTGTTTTAGGCTTTATTATTTACATGATAATAGCTGTAATGAATGATATTAAATAAGAAAAAAAAATTATAACAAATTCCATTGATCAAGCGCAAGTTTCATAATTCTTTCCACATACGAAGTATATTTTGACTGTATCAGTTATCAGATATAAACTCAGATAATATGTTATATCTTTTCATCTCTAATATCATTCATAACTATTACTTTATCCTTTATCTGGATGAGTAACCTCCAAAAATGTTCTGATGGTGAAGTACTAGGCCAGCCAGGAATCTTTATTTTAGGATAATGTAAGAAATTATTTCTTAAGTTTTATTAATTAAAATAACCTGTGTTCCTGATACTTACATATATGAAGAGAATAGAAAAAGAAAGAATAGGAAAGACGAAATATATCGATCCTAGGACAACAGTAGTATAAGACGTAAAAAAAAATATCACAGATATAGCTACAATAGCAATAAAAATAATAGAAACTGCTAAATGTAGTAGTTACTTTCGTAATAGAGGATGACTGATATATTATCATTTATCATTCAATAGGACTACAAAATATTACGAGTAAAATAAAGGAAACAAAAAGCACTGCTTAGTAGAGTGAAATTGTCGTTGATTTTTTATAGTTTACATGGAATCCGAATTTCTAGTAGGTGATAAAATTGTTTGAATACTTCTTGTATTGTATTATTCAGCGAGAAATATAAGTTGTGATGATGGATATCGATAATTACTTCAGACATCTCTGAAAATTGAATTTATTTCATTTTTTAAAATTATTGTCCTTTTTCCATTTTTCACTCTAATAATTTAGCATTCATTTATGTTTGCATCTGAATCATTTATCCATTCCTCATATATTTTTATATTCAATTTAAAACTCTTTTGCATTAGCAAAATTCACAAAATGGATTCGAAAATTTTTGCATAAATATTCTTTAACGAAAAATTAATGTAATTATTCTTTTTCAAGTGAAGAGTATATAAGTTTTAATCAGATAAAAAATTGTGATATTTATGATAAGATAAATTCAATTATTGATGAAGAAACATACGAGGTTTCCAGGTGATTATCCATAATGAATTTCAGTAACTCTTGCTGTTTAACGCAATTTGTTACGTCAGCTCCTTTATTGGATGTTATCGAAACTGAAGCTGCAGTTGTGGAAGGTTGAGAAGCAATAACGGTAGCGGCACCAAATCCGGCTCCTTTCTCTCTATCATTTAGTGAAGGAGGTGGTGCATCAGGAAGTGGAGGTGGAACAGTTATCGTACCTTTCTGTTCAATTTCATTAATATTCTCATTACTAAGTTGAATTTCCAGAGTACTCGTATCTTCCGCTACATCCTCCAATTGTTCTCCTATTGCTACTGAAAATAAATGCGCATAAATAAATCTCTACCTTTCCCTCTATAATACTACCAATTATTATGAATTAGAAGGTCAAATGATCAAATAAAACCAAATGATTAATTTATCGTTTGACAGTATTGAATTCCCAATTATCTTATAATATTTGGTAATATGAGAAGGACTGTGAATGATATTCCTTAGAACCAAATATACTTCCCGATTGATTATGACATCTTTATTTGATAAGTATCTAAGCTCATAGATATATGGGGCGTTCATTAACGACAGCGTTGTAATAAGTTTAGTGCTCTTTGAAAAATCTTTTACCTGTTGAAATATGCATATCAAAATCGGTAATTGGAGTCATTTCCTCTGTGACAGTGGATCCTTCCATATATGATGAAGCGGTACTGAAACCAGATGTTGATGAGCTGAATGATTCCGATGAAGCTACCGTTGACTGTGATTGACGCCGAATATTCTGCAAATGATGTGACCGTAATTTCATGGAAAAATTTGAACTGTTATTATTATTTTGAAAACAGAATTTAGTAGACAAAATTGTGGATGGATGAGGAACGAAACCTGTTCATTCATCCGATTTGATATTTTTCTGGATGAACCACCAACAGCTGTTGAAACGTTCCAGGAGAACCGTTTCAAAATTCCAGGTGGCAAATTTGTTGGTACCTTTGGCTTAGTAATATCAATACCATCTGATGTATGATAACGCCGTTCAAAACGACGTGTATTTAACATCTGCAACCAATCCAGAAGTAAACATTTAGTGGATTTTAAATTTCACAAAAATAAAAAGGATCTGAAGACATTCGTAACTTAGTACCAAAAGCGCCTGAAGGATAAAGTAAAATTTGATATATTCTTTATGACTGGAGCTTATCACGAATCAGCTTCTTACAGAAATATATCCTGTCATCTTTCTGTACCACCAACATCTGCGCACAGTAACGAAAGTTCCAAAATAAATTCTATATCAATTAAACAAAGGCAATACCTGAGAAGATGACATTCCAGCACTTTCATCATTTGCATAAGCTATAATAGTTGAAGGTGAGGAACATCGCACTGTTTCATCCCATTGTCCAGGAATTTGTTGCACCGAAAAATCCGGGATACTATCTAAGGTACCTTGGGATGCACGAAGATTGCATCTCTCTCGATGTTCCAACGATGTGGATGGGATATCACTAACATATATATCTCTTTTGGAAAACCCCAGTTTAGATAAATTACCTGAACAGATCCTGAAAAATTAATCATTCCACCAATTATGTATATCAATCATTGCATATAGACTTAAAAAAATAAATAAGACGAGAGATACTGAATGGAATAATATACCTATCAATAGTAGGATTCGTCGGTCCGGAAGAATTTGATCGTGATCGACGATGTACATTGGGTGATTCTAAATGCTCGATGGATTTTGAAGCAAAATGTAAATCTGTGGATGATTTTGATTGACCATTCAATGATGTAGTAGCTAGTGAGGGTAATGAACGATCATCATTGACCACGACAGCTAATTTATGATGTGATGGTATTGAATTGCTTTTAACACCACTACAAATTCCACTAGCAATATTTTGTCTTTCTTTTAATAATCGATCAATTTGATCTGCCGATGATACTGTATTCACATTTTGTACATCTAAAAATGATAATTTTTAATTTCAAAAATTTTTCCATCTTCAGAATTGAATGTACGATTAACGATCGGAAATGAAATGTTGCGTTTTCTTTTTCTTTCTTTTCTCGTATCTTTACAATATAAATTAAAAATTGAAACATACTACTAGCAATACGATTATGTTCAGCGATAATTTGAGAATCCATACTGGAACTTTTCCGATGTATAATCTCTTGATTGATTATATCCTGATGATTACTACTATTGCTACTACTGGAACGATTATGATCTGTATCATCATTCAAACCAAATCCATTACATAATCCCATCGAAATACCTAACAAACATTGCTGCGGACTTAAAGGCCTAAAAAGAGCGATGAATAAAATACGGATACAAAAAATAAATTACAATTCAATTTTTCCGGATAATTCTTTTCTTTTCTTTTTATAAAAATTTTTTAAAACGAAATATAAAAATATAATTATACTTCAAACGATAGAAATCTCTTAGCGCCATATTAGTCATTTCGAGCCATTTTCGGGTTTCTTCAATTGATGGAGTCGATAAATAGTATAGTGCTGATGGCAAACCGAAATCGTTAATCGGTGCTATTACGAAGCCAGCTGTAAAATATTTATCATCATCATCTCTTCTTAATATTTATTTTCTCAATCTCTATCTTTCACTAATCTCATAATGATACCACAAAGAAGGACAAAACATTATAATCTATTCAAATAGAATTGTAAATAAATGTAACTTATGCTAAATAAACTTAGTAAATAAACTTATGCTATCATACAATCTGTGGAGGTTATCAAAATTGCTTATCATTTGAACTGTCAATAAACATAATACGTTTCAAATGATAAGAAATTTTGATAACATTCGCAAGTTGGGTGATAGCATAAACAATAAGACTGTATGTTAATTTATTAAGCGATGTGAGGTTGAATTATAGAAGTTAGTAGCATAGTAAACCATAGGTATAATTTTTAGATAAGTAAAATCAAGAATGTATCCAAAATTTCCTACGAATTTTTTTCAGACTTTAATATCAGAAAATTGATTAGAAGAAATTTCAGCAATAATTATTAAGGTTTTTATAAAATCAAAATAGTTGAAATTAGAGAGAAATAAGAATTAGGAAATATAATAGTCAAAAGTATTAAAATATGGAAATAAATTCCGTTGTTAAACTTACAATAATCGGGAAATCGTTGAAGGCACATCTTAGCAATATGTATTGGTGGCTTAAGTATTCTTAGCCGATCATAACGTTTATTTGAAGCTTTACATATGAGGAAGAGATCGGTGAATAGTATACAATGTGCATCTACCTAAAATGTAAAATATATGCAAAATCTTGTTTGCTATAATATTTTAAGTAGTAGAAGAAAAAAAATCAATAAAGTTTTTTAATTTAAATAAAACCTTTGCTCCTTGTTTGCCATCTTTCATCTTTAAATCAGCACGCAAATAAACCCGACGAAATTGTGGTTGTCCCACAAAATATGGCATTGGATCAGCCAAACGTATATAGCATTTAATTGGAAAAATCTTAAATTAAATTTCATTTTAAATAATTTTTATAGTATAATTAATTGATGGAAGAAAAATTAGCATAAAAACAATAGGAAAAAATAAATAAATGGAAAAGATAAAAGAAAAACAAAATTCGTTGATAGAATTAAATATTTGCTACTTCGAAGCTTATCATCTATGAGTATAATAGTGATAATTTTATCATCTATTTCCTTAATTTTAAATACAAGTAAATATATTTATCAAATAAAATAGTTATGAAAATAGAAGATCAGGTAAAGATGTTGAAGATTGAAATAAAAATGATAACATTATCACTTCATACACTATCATCATGGTAAAGCAAAAAAGGAATAGAGTAAAATAAAGCATTATTAATCAATAAAGTAAAACTAAGTAAACTTAATAAACAAGTAAATTTACCTTTTCAAATTCTTCACAATCAACAGCTTCATAACTTTCAATCGCTCTTGATAATTCATTAAGCTTATTTTGTAAATCGTTATTATTTAATGTTTCTTCAACGTTTCGTGTTGCCTTTTCAATTCGTACTATCATATCCTGGAAAATTTGAAATTTATTTTCAATGCAAACATTTTATATTACATTAGCAAATATTTGTAGCTAAAATTTTAGTTAAAGCTTACTAGAAAGATTGATTTTAGAGCATTCCAATATTCTAAATATTTTATTTAGAAAGATAAAAACTTTTTTAAATGATACCTAAAATTCATCATCACCTTTTTTTTTTTTAATGATACCTAATTTGCTAAACAAATTAGAGGTAAATGTTAATGAAAATATAACAGGGTCAAAAATTTAATCTACGATAAATAAATTAATTAGGCTTAAGTAAACAATAATTCCTGATAATATTATTATTTAAATAAATAAATAGAGTAGTTGTACCTGAATAGTGTCCCGTTCAGTATCATCAACAGTATGTTTGAGAACAGCTTTAAGAAGTAAACTATATCTTGTAAGACGTTGCATCGGATTTGTCAAAGCATCTAATAAACGTTGCCGTCTCATCGTATCTTGTGATTCTGCCCACTAAAACTTTCAAAGAGGAATTTTTTTGAATCAGGAAAAAATTTCAAATAATATTACAAAATAAATTTATCACAATAATTCTTATTGAATTACAGGGAATTAAATTATTCCTAAAATTTAGATGTGTTAAAAAAATTTTGATTGTGAATAAATTTGAGATCACATTTGTTAATTGTAATTTTCTTCCTTTTAATCCTTATTTCATTAATATACAGTATGTGATTAACGGATCCGGAAAAGATATGAATAAATGTATATAATATTTTATCATATATATATGTGTAATATTAAAATTGTTTCCGTTTCAATAAGCGGAACTAAAATAGTATACCGCGACAAATTCGCGAAATAGTTCATTTTCTTTCTGACATTTCTGCACATAGCTATGACAATCAGCATGTCCATATATGAAAGTTGTATAACAAGGCCACCATTCATCAATTCGTTCAAAACCGGATTTCAGGATTGATGGGTCGAGTGGAGTGCTATTATTTCTGCAAAAAAAAATTATTTCTTTTTTGCACTTATATACTCTCATCAGTATTTATTATATTTTCGAATAACGAACATTTCTTAGAGAAAAAATTTTCAAGGTCAAAGGGTAGGTTATATAAAATATTTTCCATGCAATTACCTTACGATATATTTGTACTACTCTATTGTATTTGTAGATAATAAAAAAAAATTATTTAAAGGTAAAAACCTTGAAGTTTGCAGCATTGGTAGTACTGCTTTTTTCCAAAATTTCGAATTATGAAGATAGAGTTCAGGATAATTAAGAAAGACCCGATGTGGATCAATATCACGCATATATCCAATTTCTTGCATTTTTAAAAAGCATTGACAAAGTTCGTTCATTTGTTTTAGAAGCTAAAAATTAATTCCCAATTTTAAATATAAATTATTAATTATAAAAATTAAAAAAAAAAGAATTCAGAAATCTATCCTATATTTAATTTAAAATTTAAATTATAAATATTATTTCTACAGTAAACTTTAAAAATCTATTTGTTATTCGTCAAATTATAAATATTATTTCTACAGTAAACTTTAAAAATCTATTTATTATTCATGTGAAAATCACACTCTTCTAATTTTTTGTTAAAATTTGAATTTCAAAAATTGTTTAATTTATTTCGTAGTACTAAATTTTCATAATTAATCTCTTATGAAATGCCCAAAAAGATTGATAGCAAAAAGTTTTATTTGCCTGCAAATATCGATGTTCTGTTGTGACAAATTCCCAAATAGCTTCTTGCTGTTCATAAGCATGTTTGCTTAATTCATCCTATAATTTTCAAATTCAATACAACAATTTTTGAACTTCCTATCAATGGCAATGATAAAAATCATGAGAGAATTTTTTTCCCGATCGGCCTATTACTGTACCAAGAAATTTCCTGTTCTTAATAAGTCATTGATGGAAATAGCAAAGAACGTCTTTTCTATTTGTTTTATAATTTCAAATTATCTTTTTTAAAATTTTAAATTTCAAAAGATCGCCTCTATTACACTTCGGCATATTATCCAACTAATAGAGATTCATCTTTATAATTGTAATAAAAGCCTGTCAAAATAAACTTACGCTATCATGAACAATATTTGTCCAATGAGGTTCAAGCTCAAACATTGGTACTGATTTTTGCATTTCATCTTTTAGTAAAGCTAAACGTGGAAGCATTTCAGCTTTATCCTAAAATTAAATCAAAAAATTTGTTTAAATTTTCATTTCATGAAATTACATACATAATAGACATTTTTTAATTTCGTAATTAAAAAATTCAAAAATTAATCCTTAAAAACAAAAGAAAGGAAAAATAATATCACTAACCTTGCCAAAAAATAAACTTCTCCTACTAGTACTAGCTATACTGCGTAAACGTCGAGTTCCACCACTAATACTACTATCGTCGTGAAATGTGGAAGAGGGCAAATCACCAGAGCATGATGGTTCATCTAATGCTATGCTGAAATAGCCAAAAGTCTAAAGCTAAATGATGAAAGTTATAAAAGTTGTGTAAATTTCATTTCAAAACTTTTCAATCGTTGAAAAAGCAACGAATAATAACAACATAATTAAAATACAAAAATATCAAATAAAACAATTTCAACATTTTGCATAAATAAAAACAAAGAAAAAAAAAGTCTTTTTCAAAATATATTCAAATATTTGAAAAAGTTTTAAACAAAATTTAATGATTCAAACTTTAATGATTCAATTTAATGATTCAAAATTCAAAATCATTATAAAAAACAATAATAATAGATTGATTAATTCTTAGTTTAAAAAATTTTACAATTTTACAATGAAATCAAAAAAGAAATTTAGTTTATCATATAAGTAGTAATGGATTAATTTCTACGATATCGTAGGAGAGTATAGAAGAAAATCTTTTGTGATGCTCTAAATATTCCAAAATTGGTGGCCATCTTTCTCATAATTCCTTCATTACCACCTCTTTTTACATTCATTTCATAGCAATAGAAAGAAAGGAGATAATCATTTAAATTATTAAAATTCTTAAATTAAAAAAAAAAACAACAAAAATATTTAATATTCAAAATAGGCTATTTTAGGATACATTAATTCAGTAATAACATAATTTATTAATCTACCCCTTAAAGAATAATTTTGCAAAAATTAAATTAAACTTAAATCTATCCTTCCACATTAATTCTGTAATAACATAATTCAGTGATCTATCCTTTGAAGAATAATTTTGTAAAAATTAAATTAAACTTAAATCTATCCCTTACAATAATTCAGTAATAACATAATTTAGTAATTAATAATTCAATAATCCCGTAAAGAATTACTTTATAAAAGTTAAATTAAATTTCAATCTGTCCCTTGCATTAATTAATTCAGTAATAGCATAACTCATTAATCTATCCCCTAAATAATAATTTTCTAAAAATTAAATTAAACTTAAATCTATCCCACCATATTAATTAATTCAGTAATAATATAAATTCATTAACCTATCCCTTAAAGAATAATTTATAAAAAATTAAATTAATAGTTAAATTTCCATCAGCATAACAAATATCATCGATAGATTGCAAAAAATGAAATGAAAAAAATTTCAACTGAACAAAAAAGCAAAAAAGACAGAGAGAGAGAGAGAGAGAAAAATAGTAAAGAGAGAGAGAAAGAATATTTTGCTATTAAAATGTTTAGTAAAAGAGAAAAAGAAATAAAAATTTCACTTTTTTAAACTTTGACAATTTCTGTCACTTTCTTTTACACATAACAAAGCTTGCCAAACTATTGTTTATATATGTAAACAATTTATCAAAGATTTTCGTAATCCTCAAATTCTCAACGAATTTGTTGACATCACTTAAAATGGATTTCAGATATTAAAATGGGAGACATTACAAAAAAATGTTTTTCATATTTTCATATAAGATTGTATAATTTAGTTTTGAAGTAAAAAAGAAATAATAAAGAATTTATTGAGGAATGTTGAAAGAGAGAAAGAGAGAGAGAGAATTATCAAAATAAGAACTTTTTTGCTACTTTCTACTTTCTAAAAATTTCCCCAATGACAATTATCATTCCTTCAACTGTGAAATAAAGTAGTAAACATTCAATTGAATGAAATGAACAAATATTTTACCTAACTAAATTGCTATTAAAGAAAAGCATTTTTGGATAATTATCTGTAGTTAATTTTTCAAATTTAATATTTTCTAGTATAAAATATTGAAATGATTAAATGATTCATCTTTTTCAAATTTCAATCTTATTTACATTTAAATTTTGTTGGAATCTTTCTTTTAATTTTAGAAAAATGTTAATATCGATGATTGAAATCGATAGGAAGAGAGCGTTATCAGCTAAAGAATAACGCCCAATTTCTACCAAATTCCGGATCATTAATAAAAACTTGATCGTTTATCCGGATTAAATTTAATATGCAAAAGTTACTGACTAAAATTAAAGCCTATTTTTTTGCTATTCTATTCACCTTTGAATAAATATTACTGGAATGAATTCTATTTCATAAAATTAATTTTTCTATTTAACTATTTAAAATTGCACAAATGCAATGATATGCGTGCATTTGTGCGATAATATTATGTGCAGTTGAATGCAAGCAAATTGCTAATTTTTACTTCTATAATTGTCTAGAGTTACACAAATACAATGATTTGCATGCATTTGCATAAAAATATAATGCGCAATTGAATGCGCGGAAATTGCTAATTTTTCCTTTAACTGCTTAGAAGTGCACAAATGCAATGATAGTCGTGCACTTGCGTAAAAATATAATACGCAATTGATTGCAAGTAAATTGCTAAAAAGAAAAGGTAAGTTAAATGTGTTAGTGAAGAGGTAATGAGAAAGAATAAACCAACCAATCAACCAATCAACCAACCAACCAATCAACCAATCAACCAACCAACAAACAAACGTACAATTCACATTTTTGATGAAATGAGTAATGTTATCGAGGGAAACCGAATGTACTAAAAGGTCAATGAACACACAAATACGTAAGTTTGTAATTTCTAAATTTTTTTGTTTTCCTCTTCTTTTTCTCTTTTTTTTAAAGTTTTATTTTAAAATTCATTCGCTAATTAATATAATTAGGATTTCTTAAAATTTAATAAAAATTAATTTTTACAAATTTTATTTATTTTAAATTTTTCATTAAATTTGCAAACAAAAAAAATAGAATTTACACTTTTTTTTAAAATTTATTTTGCAGCTATTTCTTTTAAAATATGCAAAAATTTAAAACTAACTTATTTTAAACATTAAAACAAAAGTTTATTTCATTTTGTATATTTTTAATTAATTAGTTAATTAATTAATTAATATTAACGTTGTTATAAAATTTAAGAAAAAGCAATCCATCTTCTCAAATATGTAAAAATTTCGAACTTTCGTATCTTAAACATTGAAACAAAAGTTTATTTCATTCATATATTTTCATTAATTAATTAATTAGTTAATATTAATGCTATTATAAAATTAAAAAAAAAAGAAGAAAAAGAAAGAAAGAGTTAAAGTATGATAAAAGGAAATGATAACATACTTGAGCAATATTGATTGATTTGTTGGTGAATTTCTTCGAGTTTTTGATTCATAATCATGATAGTTGTTAATTCCCAAATATGATGATGATAACGTTGAATTATTGCCACGACTTCGTGATAGCTAAATTCAAATGATAATATTTTATTTGCATCATTTTTAAAAATTTTTGAAAAGGATTAATTAGTAATTAATTGCTAATAAACAATATCGGTGATAATATTTTATAAGTCAAATTCCTGATGGATTAATTATTGCTAATAAATAGTATATAATAATTTATTATTGAAAAGTATTTTTAGACAATTATTTAGTTGAGATTATTCCTGATGGATTAATTATTGGTAAAAAATAGCATATTTGTGATAATTTTTATAATTCAAATAAGACAATTAATTAATGGGATTATTCCTAATGGATTAATTATTGCTAATAAATAGTTTATCAGTGATAAGTTTTATAATTTAATATGTCTATATGATTGAACGATATGATTTTTTATCATTTAACAATATTTAACATATTTATGATTGATTAGCATTTTTAGATAATTATTTTATAAGAAAGAATTATTATTGATTTAAAAAATTAGTAATTAAATTATTATGAAATACTAAAAGTAAACTGAACTACTAAAATGCATTAAATTATATATGAAATATATAAAATACTAGAAATGCATTAAACTATATATATGAAATACTAAAATACATTAAATTATATGCGAAATATATGAAATACTAAATTATATTAAATTATATTTGAAACATATGAAATCTTAAAATATATTAAACTATATGTGAAATATATAAAATACTAAAATACATTAAATTATATGTGAAATACTAAAATACATTAAATTATATGTGAAATACATGAAATACTAAAATATATTAAATTACATTTAAAATATATAAAATACTAAAACACATTAAATTATGCTTGGAATATACAAAATACTAAAATACATTAAATTATATATGAAATACTAAAATTCATTAAATTATGCTTGGAATATACAAAATACTAAAATACATTAAATTATGTATAAATATATGAAATACTAAAATATATTAAATTATCTCAAATAAACTGCATTTTTGTTAAAAAGAATTTGCCCGTAAATTTTAGCTATTAATGAGAGAATGGAGAAAGAGCGAATTATAATTAATTATTTAGCTGAAAAAAATTATTAAAAGACAAAAAAACAAAAGGAAAAATTTAATTGAAATAAACAAAGGAAGAAAATAACCATTTAACAATTTATACTGTTTTTGGATGGAAAAATCAGCAATCCTTCTCCTTCCTTATTTACACCACTCTTCTAACCAGCCGAAGAATGATAACCTTTATAAATTCCTTTTCATATACTTTATATTAGTATGAATTAAAAATTATAAAATGCATTTGATATTTATAAATACTTCTATTTGATAATAAATAATGAATTATTTAAAACTTTCAAGCATTTTATTTACGTATGTTTCATTAAAATGTATTTAGAAAAAGTTCTAGAAAAATCCATTAGGTAATATAGAAATTAGCTATTAATTATTATTTGATATAATTTTTCTACTGTTTACTTTCTCTTCTCTCTTTCCTTCTCTCTCTCCCTCTCTCCCCTTCGGTAATATAGAAATTAGCTATTAATTATTATTTGATATAATTTTTCAACCGTTTATTTTCTCTTCTCTCTTTCTTTCCCTCTCACTCTCTCTCCCTTTAGGTAATATAGAAATTGACTATTAATTAATATTTGATATAATTTTTCCACTGTTTATTTTCCCAATATCTCTTTTTCTCTCCCTCTCTCTGTAACTATCTAGAACTCTTGTGATCTAATAAAAAATTCTCTTCTTTTCCATCTAATTTATTATTTCGACAATGTTGAATATTTGAAACAAATTTATAGTATTTTCATTTATATAAATAACTCTTAGAAAGGCAAATAAATTATGCAATAGAAAAACGATTATAAGAAAATAATATGCTTTAGTAATGGCATAGTTAGAGAGGTAAATTACTGATTAAGACAGGTGTTAAAAAATCACCTTTAATTTTCTATTATTCTAATGCAAAACATTATTTCGATCCATCTATCATCTACCTTTCCCCTCTATCTGCTATCATTAACAATTAACAAATAATAACTGATAATATAAATTGCAATGAGAAAAGAAATGTTATCAAATAGCTCGTCCATATAAAATAATATAATTAATTTAATATCTTTGTTTTATAATATTTATGATAAAAATAGAATTTAAAGCCGAAATTTGTTTTGTTCAATTTTAACAATTTTAGGTTTAACATTTTCGAAATGATATTTCATTCATAAATAATATAAGAAATAAAGGTGGATAATATAATATAAAAATAATTCAAAAACAAACAACCTTAATAGATCTACCTGAAAAGGACAAAAAAAAACTACATCATTTATTTTTACTTAATACAAAATAGCTAATTAAAAATTTTCAAACTAATTAATGAATACTTCATGACTGAGAATATTTGCACATGCTATAATTAATAATATATTTAAGAAAAAAAGAAAATTATTTTATAAAATCTGTTAATAGCAAATATTTGGCAAATTTTATTGTTTCAAATTTTAAATTTAATTTAAAATGAATGATGCAGAAATCATTTAATCGAATTTAATTACATAACATTGAGACAAAGAAAGCAAACAAGCAAATTAATGATTTAAAATACTAAAAGTTTCAATTGGTAAAAATTTAAAAAAACTGATCATTTCTCTCTCTCTTTTTTCTCTCTCTCTCTCTCTCTCTTTCCGTTAAATTTCTTACTATGAACTAATAATAAAACAAAAAT